ATGATTTCATCTAGCTCTTGAGAATACTCTGTAGATTTTATAGAACAAGGAAGTATTGGTGGAAAATTGAGATGAGATCCTCTCTCAAGAGGAGTTTTTCAAGCCTTCCACTAATTGCCAAAGTTGCTGGAAAAGGACACATTCATGCAGGCAAGCAGTTGTTCAGTGTAGGAATGTTATCTCTGATCATAAGATTTTCTTTACAGGAGGCAGGCTGTGTCAAGGCTGAGATAAATAAAGGACTCTGGCAGCTTTTATGCAACAGCTAAGCAGCCTGTCCTGTTAAGAAAAACAGTCCCCTTCAAATGATCTATGTAATGTTCATGGCCCATTGACTTCCAAAGTAAAGAACCAGATTTTAAAATGTGTCCTATTTTGGATGTTGTTTGTGGATTTTTAGCTGGTCAGTTGATTGCACGAGAAGCTGCTCTTGGCTTTCAGGTAGCCCCCCTCTCTGGCTAGTAACATAGCTTTTTTTTTTCTGGCAAATGCAGCCTCGTCAGCCCCTTTTCTCTCAGTTGTGACTGGTTGCTGACTTTTGGCTCTGTGGTCCCAGATACACTGACAAAGTAGAATGTCAGCTCATGGTTAATGAGAGCACCCTGCAGCTATCTCCCACCAGCAAGCTACAAAACAGTCTGGGGAATACAAGGTAATGATTTGAGAGAGGCACGTTTCCACTCCAGAGGAACATTAGCGAATGAGCTTTAGCAGCTATGAGAACTGCATTGGAATAGACCTTGCCCGTGCATATAGTACCACGTACATGTGTGCGGAGGAAATGAGGGTAGGAAAGCTTCAAATTTCCTTGTCCTTATTTATAGTTTCTTATTGTAGCTTCAAATGAATTGATGTGAACTTTATTGCGTAATATGAGCAAATTGTTCATCATCTGATCATGGCACAATACCTGTATCTCACACTTACTTTCATCCCTTAAGTAGGTTTGTGAACTGTAATGCTTTTCGTTCTGATAGTTGATGGCTTCATGGTGCAGGAAGTTGGCTATCAGTAGCATTTCTCATGTTTCACTTTCAGAAACAAGTTTGACGATGGCTTTGCAGCCAGCCAGATGAGTCTTCATGGCACCTTTTAGAAACAAAACAAACAGAACGAGTAGACCAAATGGTCCATATAGAGTAAACTCCTAGAAATCACTCGCTGAAGCTGGTAGTCAGCTGAGTTTCTGTATCATGTTCTCCAATATAGAGCTGTTTTCTTTGCAGAATGAAGTGGAAGGATGTGACCAATCCTGTATCTCAAGTATGTGGATATATGAATTAATTAGAGAAAGTGTTGGGAATGTCTTTCCTACTTCTTTGAGATTTTTGGGGCACGGAGTGTTTGTTAAACTCACAAGACATCTTGGCTTGACAACATCCTTTTGCATTAAAGTTCAGGCAGATTTTCCATCTTTTCAGGTTTTTTTCACACAGTTGTGTTGAGTCACTCCCACTTACAGTTTGTGCTGTGATTGAATTGTTTTGATTCTCTATGTACTAGTTATCTTGGGTCTTCAGGATGAGAAGGGTGATGATTTGTATTTTGAAAACCATACCTGAAAGTTCATATATGTTCACAGAATGCATATAAACAGAAGTAGCTTGATTTTCAGTCCTCTTTTACCTTAGAGTGATTGTTGCCAGTCTTTCTCCCCACCTTAAATATTGCAGCATTGAAACAATTTTTTTTTTTTTTTATATTCCATTTCATTTTATTATATGGGAATGATTTTATATTTCTTTTTTTGTTTTACTTTGAAAAGGCTGACAAAGCCCTCTTAAGATGGTTAGAAAACAAGAAGAGTGAAATAATGTCAGGTGGATAAAAAGTTCTTGTTCTTTTTGCTTTTATCTTTTTTTTTATTTTATTTTTTCCCCTGCTTGTGGACCTTGCAGCTATGTCAGGATATGCTTCAGAAGAGATCAAGTGAAAACAGCTTGTGAAAAGATATTTTTGTTGAAGTAGCTGAGCCTAGCTGATGGCTCTGGTGTGTATAGAGTTCCAAGTAGTAGAACTCTCTTCATGATGATTTTAGTATATTCCTTCTTTGTTTTACCTCACCGTGGTATTCTTGTGTTACCCAGAGTCCTTTGGTTTTTACCATCAGCCAGAGTGGCAGAGCAATATTCCAGGTCAGTTCCCCTGTTACTCTGAACTCAGGGTTGCAGAATGTAACACAAAAATAGATTTGGCTGAGGTGGTATCAGCATTTTAGAGAGAATGAAATGAAACATGAATCCCAGCTGAAAAGGCAGTCCAGTTCCACTAAACTTTGAAAATACTAACGCAACATAAGGCTTAGCAGCAGGAAATAGTAGAGATCACAGTATCCCTGGAAATGCAAGGTAATGTTCCCTCCTGACACCTGAGCAAGCTTCTGTGGTTTATACCATTAAGAAGACCTGTAATTCCAGCCAAGGGTACAACAGACACTTGCCCACATCATAGAAGTGTTCCATAATACTAAGGAAGAGAGAAAAACACTCCTGGCAGTTGTCTTTATGAGATTTTATCTTGCTGGAGAGCGGCTGGAAATAAATGCCACTAATTATGGCAAGGCCTATGTAGATTTGTGTGGAAGACTAAGATGGTACTGAGTGAGTAATTGTCCTGAAAAAAAGGCTGTTAGGAATAAACTGAGAAACTATGAAGGATGGAGAAAGAAAATGAAAACTGTCTTGGGGATCAAAGCATGTCAGGATAAAGTAAACATTGCCAAAGCTCATGCTGGGTTAGACTTTGCAAAGGAAAGGGAAGCGAACAATGTATTCTTTGAGTATATAAGTAAAAGCAAGGTAAGGGAAAACAGGGATGGGTATGCAGTAAAGATGGGGATGACAAAAAATGCAATTTTATGTATAGTTAGGCAATCAGATGAATACTTGGCCTCCAATTTCAGTTGGAACAATGGCATTGAACAAGGGAGCAAAAGAAGTCAGTGTTTAGCAAGATTTGGAGATGAAAATTAACCCAATGAAGCTGGAAGCAAAATTTAAATATTACTATACTGTAATGACTGGAAATAAAATTCGACCAAGTGGTCTTTGTCTCAGAAGAGTGGAAGAATTGTACAATGAAATTGTGAGCTTTGTGGTAACAATTTGTGATTAAATCAAGCTATCCTGATGTATCTTGACTATCTAATTCAAAGTAACACTGTGTGACCACTGAGTGACAGAAATATGACCTGCAGATAAACAACTAAAAAGAAAAGAAAAAAGAGAAAAGGTGATCTGAACAAGTACATATCAGTTAATCTAAATAGTAGATAAAACACCTTATTTGAAGGAATAACTAAAGGCTGGTAGTTCTGCAAGTGAAGTCCTTTGACCTTATGAAGGTAAGTGGTATAAAATGTGATGTGGATTCACCAAAGACTATGCTGGACTCGCTTGACAGCTTTTGTCAGTAAAGTAACTGACTACCTCCATAAGGGAAATGTGGTGCATTTGAACAGTTTGGACTTCAGTAAAGCACCCGAAGCCTGTCACATGGAAATAATTACTTAAATTGGATAAAATGAGGGAGTAGTAGATGAAACATCAAGTAGCTAAGAAGTTGACTTAAATGAGAGATTAGAGGATTTATTGAAAAAGGAAGCAATGGAGTTGGATGTCAGCTACGGGCCATGGAGTTTCACAAAAAATAATCTGGGGACTAATCTTTGTAATACTTTCACCAAGTTTACTGGCAAAAAAAAAAAAAGTCTGCTAATGAAATTCATTGCTGAGGGGCAACATTTCAAACCCTCATCAGTGCAGAGGAGGATGGGCACATCATACACTAAGAACTGCAAAATGTCGCAGACTAATTTTAAAAATAGAAATGTAATAGTAGAAAGTACCAGGTCATGCACTAAGGTGTTGAGAATTTTGGCTACCCACAAGGTGCTTATCAGTTGAAAGCAAAGAAGGAGAAAGATCTGGATATCAGTCAGTAAATAAAAGCCACCAGTATTATGTGACGTATAAATAGGCAAGTGTGTTCCCAGCGTCTATCAGATGAGAGATTTCTGGCAGGGTTATATGTTACACTGATAAGGCCTCATCTGGAAAGCTGTATTCAATTCTAATCACGCAGGTTCTGGAAAGATTAATCCAAACTGGGACAGGTGCAGAGACCTAGGGGATGATCAGCGCACTGACGAGCTTATCTCATGAGAGGAAGGTTTGGCTTGTTTAGCAAAGCAAAACAGAAGCTTGGAAAGACTGGGCTCTGTAAATAGTAAGCTGGGTAAGGGTAAACAATGGCATGGTGTTTAAGCTAAAATACTAGAATCTTAAAAAGAAATGGATGAATACAGGTTAGGCTTTTAATTAATTGAGTGCCACAGTGAAAGAGGCTCTTGCATACTTTTCTTCAACTCCCTGGTTCATATGTCCTTGCAATTTTGGGGGATTCAGGGGGATTTGTGTTTGTTCCCTGTGGTTCATTTCATCACAAACTGATTAAAAAGCAAATTAATGCAAGTCCGTAAAACGTTTTAAAACTTGCTCCAAGTGGGCCTTTTTCATTCCTTCCCTTCTTTATCTTTAGTAATAATATATTTTCTTGCTCCCTGACTCAGTAGGCTTTCCTTGCCTGCTAACAATTTTAACATGCAGCAGGATTGCCCCATAGCATTCCCACTGTGTCTCACAGAATGTATTCAGTCTGTGGCCTGGCCTTCCCCAGTACTTACTACACAGAGTTTATTGCAGCTCTAGTTTTTGTAGCTAAAATGTCCCCATTTTCTCTCTCAACTAGGACCTTTAACATGCTTTTTAGCGTCCATTAGCCAAAACCACTAAGATTCCCTTTTGCAGTCTGGCTCCCCAGCAGGTTCTGCCAGTAGTGGCAAACAGGATAATGACGCAAGGTATTCTCTTGCTTTATTTACCTCCCTCTGCCTCTTGCCCTTTTTCTCCCAACTGCTCAATTCTTTAAAACAAAACAAAACAAAAAAGATACAGTTCTGACTGCTGCATTTATTGTTTATTCACTGGCTTATTCTTTAGGTTCTAATGTAAATGGGCTGGAAGAGCCCAGCCTTGCTAAGCGGCTGCGTGGCACTCCTGAGCGGATTGAGCTGGAGAACTACCGGCTGTCACTGCAGCGGGAAGAAGAACTGGAAGAAGTTCCTGAGGAGACACTGGCAGAGCATAACCTGAGCAGTGTGCTGGACAAAGGAGCAGAAGAGGACGTGGCCAGCAGGTTAGCACACATTGTCCGTAAGCTTTTTTATACCCATCCCAACAGACTTCTGCCTGCTTTTCCTTTAGCTTTTTTTAACTTATTTACCAGGTTGCCCTTTCTGAAGTTGCTGAAAATGTCCTGCCTATGTACACATATTTTATCCTGTAGTTTCTGTTCTTCTAAATAGCTTACTACCATTCTTAGAAGACACCTATAGTAACATATTATCATAAAATTCAGTCTGAAGTTGAAAGGGATTTTTTTTAAACATTTTTTTTCGATTGTATCAAAGGCAAATTAGTCTTTTGAGCAAACAGAACATGGATTCAAATGGAAGTTAACTTGTCTTCTGTATGTTTTGCATTACAATTCAAAACCACTTTTGGTTTAAAGATTCAATCTTGACACACATATAAATCTGACTGAAAGCTGATGCAATGCCTGAGAGGTATTATTTTGAAGCAATAGTTATGGCTGTTGAAAAACATATTGTACCTTCACAAATTTCTCTTTATCTGCAAAATTGTAGCATCACAGAGTACCAGGTTTGAAGAGACCTCAAGGATAATCTGATCCAACCTTTCTTGGAAAATCACACAATCTAAATAAGATGGCCCAGCACACTGTCCAGCTCAGTCTTAAAAGTGTCCAGTGTTGGGGAGTCCACCACTTCCCTGGGGAGATTATTCCAGTGGCTGATGGTGCTCATTGGGAAAAATTTTCCTCTTGTGCCCGATCGGTATCACCCCAGAAGTAACTTGTGCCCATTACCCCTTGTCTTTTCCATGTGACTCCTTGCAAAAAGGGAGTCTCCATCTTCTTTGTAGCCACCCTTTTAAATACTGGAACATGGTGATAAGGTCTCCCCTAAGCCTTCTCTTCTCAAGGCTGGACAAACCGAGTTCTCTCAGCCTTTCCCCACGTGGAAGGCTTCCCAGTCCCTTGATCATCTTTGCATCCCTCCTCTGGACCTTCTCCAGCCTGTCCGCATCTTTTTTGTATCGCCGGGACCAAAACTGAACACAGTATTCCAGGTGTGGCCTGACAAGCGCTGAATAGAGTGGGATGATGACTTCTCCATCTCTGCTGGTGACACCCTTGTTGATGGAGCCCAGCAGCCTGTTGGCTTGCTTTGCCACAGCAGCACACTGGTCACTCCTATTGAGCTTGTTGTCCACCAGGACCCCCAGGTCCCTTTCCACAGAGCTGCTCCCCAGGCAGGTAGGTCCCAGCCTGTGCTGCACTCCTGGATTATGTTTTCCCAGGTGCAAGACCTGACACTTGTCCTTGTTGAACCTCATATGGTTCTTCAGAGCCCACTCTTCCAGCCTATCCAGGTCTTCCTGCAGGGTGGCTCTCCCTTACAAAGGGTCCACTTCCCCACTCAGCTTGGTACCATCAGCAAACTTCATCAGGGTGCCCGTGATGATATGTAACACACCAAGATCCAAATATACGCAGGTAGAGCTACTGGAAATAGTTGTTGCAAGAATCATTGAGAGAAGATACTTGATGAAGAATGCTTGTGAAATTTGTAATCGATCACAAAGTCTCAATCTTTTAATATGGTTTCTAATAATCTGCTTTTCTCTGTAGCAATAACAACCCTTACCTTTTCAGTTCTCAGTCTGTCCAGCAGACGTCTTGAAATAAACTCAGAAAATGCTGTTACTGGTTTCCTGAGACTTAGTTCCTACAAGCATATTCTATGTATGCATTGCCTATAGGTATAGGGCTGTATGAGAAATGCCTTAAATACATTTATACATGTTAAAGTGAATTGGATTGGTGTGGTAAAGAATTACAGGACTAATGTATTACAGAACCTGTCATTTATTTATCTGATAAGGTAAGTTTGAAGATGCAGCATCTGGAAGGGAGTAACTTTTGATAGCCTGAACTAGGCCTTGACAGAGTGTGTACATGTGGATTCATGAAGGTGTGACTTACGTGTAAGTGCCTGGCAATTACTAGTATCTTGTACAGCTGTTTTCTCTGAAGGCTAAAGAATACTTTTTGATTAATTTCTTAACATTAATTTCTTTAGAAGATACTGTTTTGTCATTTTACATAATTGAGATCTTATCTAGTACTGTGATTGAATAATCTTGGGACTCTTTGTGGGAGATGCAAACTCATCCTTTCCTTAGCTCCCTGCTCAGCCCTAGGAATCATATCTCCTGTGACAGTATAGGCATTAATGATATTGAGGGATTTTTAGTCCTTTATGTTGCTAGCTCTAAAACAAAATTTACTAGTATGAAGCATTATTATTATTATTATTATTATTATTATTATTATTATTATTATTAGTCTTTATTTCAGTAAATCAGGACACAGTAGGCCTGCTCAGTAAATACAGAAGACATCCAAAGGACGAGAGTTAGTTAAAAAAAGTGGAGTATTGGCATTTTGGCATAAAGCTGTTGGTCATTTCCAAGACGTGCTTTGCGAGATTGTGGAGACAGACTAAGGGTAGTACATTATTAGGTTAATGAGTTTGATTTCCTTTTGTAGGGTGTTACATTTAGCTTAATTTGTCCTACATACATCCATGTAACCTGTAATTAACTGAGTATTTCTGTCTGCAGTAGACTGAATTGTACAATTTTGCATGCAAAAAGCAGTGTTGAGTGGATAACTCACACTCTGTGATAGAGAGGAAGGAGAAAATACATCAAATTTTCTGTAAGTTTGACCTGGAAAAATTTCTGTCCCAAATCCAAATATGGCAAGCAGTTTACTCAGAGCATTGATAAGGCTGTGCAGGCTAAACATCAGATTCAGAATTTTCCTGATGATGTAGTTATTGGGTAGCCTCTGTTCAGCTCTACCAATTCCATGGTATGTCACAGAAAGATGCAAAAAAAAAAAAAACAACCAACCAAAAACAAACAAACAAAAAATGCAAAAAAGTCTGACCGCTTTTTCAGCAACAAAAGAAAAAAAGGTTGACTCATGCAACAAGCCAACCAAAGCTCTGATGTGATCATCTTCACTGTCTTGGTGCAGCACCGCAGGGTTAGGAGCAGGTGGAGAAGTGAAGAACTCTTTGTTCCCTCCATGTCTTACAGAGCGATGGATTGGGCTTCAAGGTTCACCGAGGTGTTAGCTCTAAATCAAGCAGAGACCACACACTTGGTGCACAGCTTCCCATCACGCACACACTTAGGAGCATGCACACTGCAGAGAACATCAGAAAACAGTATTCGAAATATATTTTTGTAAAAGAGAGTTAATCTTGTTTAAGCTTCAACAAGAAAAAAAATCATTTAAACAACCAAACTCTGACTACACAATTCTGAGGGACAGAAAACCCTTTAGATACCTTATTCATTGCCTTTAACTTGCAGTAACCCCTCAGTAGGTCATCTGCAGGTTTGGTATAATACCCTGTGGCGTTTTGAAGAGGTGTCATAGGACAGCACGTGCTGTATGGGTCTGTGTGGCAAGGGAAGAGGTTTATTTCCACGGTTAAGGTTTTGGTTCCTTTCCTCAGCACTAAATCTGTGTGTGTGGAGATATTCAGCTGCTTATATAAATTATGTAAAGCAAAATACTTTGGTCTTTGATCTATGCTTTATAGAAAAAAAAAGTTTCAGCTATTGAATTAATTCCTGTGACACAGAGTTGCCATGCTGAAAGGAATGCCCCCTAGACCAGGCCATCTCACTGCTATCTTTCAGCTTCTAATTTCTCAGTATTCAAAGGTCAAACAAAAAACAAGTTATAAATAAAAGCCAAAGAAGGTAAAGTGAGCTATGTGGTAAAGAATTTATGTCGTCAGTATTACATGTGATAAGCCAGCTGGTTGAAGAGCAGCAGCTCATCCCATTCAGCAGTCATGGCAACAGTTTGAGCAGCAGTAAACCTTATTCACAGCACACAAAAACCCCAGCATGCAGCACCTGTCAGGTTTATTTGCATAGCAAAGGGTGGGAAAGTTAATCAGGGAGGAGGGGAACATCACTTTTTATCTCTGTGACAATATCTGTGTAAAGCCTTTGGAATATGCTTCAGTCTCCTGGAATATGCACCGAGTCCATGGCATGCAACAGTGTTTGTATTCAGTATTTAGCATGTGAAAACTAGGCAGCCTGTTAAAAATAGGTACTCAGTTTATGCTGTGAAAAAGTGGGTTGTAATTTGAGCAAAATAATGTTATATATATGCAGAACAGTCAGGAGAATTTAAGAGCCTATGGACAGAGCTACATGACAATCAGAGCATGAAAAAAGTGGTGTTTTCCTTATTAGCTTTGCTGTCAAAAATAGTCTCTCAGACAAGTAGATGAATAAAATTATGTAAATATGATATGTTTGTGTAATATTAGACTAATTTGAAGTTCAGCACCCGAATATGTTTGTCTGCAATATAAGAGAAAGAGTGCTGCCATATATATTTTTTTTTGGAAACTGTCAGTTTGTCACATGCTGTAAGAAAGCCTGTGTATAGGAAACAGAATTACAACAACTGTACAAGTTACATTTTATAGACCTACATGAAATTTAAACTTCATTATTTTCAACTTGTCAGTTTTCCCTCTCGTTGTCTATATGGAATGGGTTCTGCCAAAAGCTGTTAACTGCAATGATAGCTGTCATAAGGAAGCAGCAGAAGTAGAATACTGTTCTCAGATGATTCACCCAAACTTTAACCATTCACAGTTTTCTCCTTCAATTTGGATGAATTTGGGCCTTTTAAGATTTATTTGAGAAGCCTCTAACACTTACTCTAATAAATGCAGATCTTTTATGACAGTGAACTATTGGGGACCTTTTCATCCCACAGATGTGTCCTCTGAATGTGCTGTAGTTCACATTCATTTTCCAGTGACAAATTCAGCCTTCTTTTTCCCTACTACCTCTAGGTAGTCCAGCATGTAAGAGTGAGCTAGATGAAATGTTATTGTATAGGTGGTTACATTTCTTGCCCCTGATGTTTATACTGAGGAACTGTTAGGATCAGAGAGATGTTTACTAGAAGGCACTAATAACTACTGTTTTGCATGCTTTCGACTTTGCTGTGAGAATAAGCAGCTCATTATTGTTTTTACTCTTGCACTGCTTCCTAAAGTTTCTTGCCACTATGTATACTGTGTACTTAATTGGATACTTATAGTTCTGCCTGTGATGTAGAAAATGGAGGAATTCTGTGTGTTTTCCCTCTAGCTCTCTTTAGCTCACATGCTGTATCCTTTGGCCTGATAGGTGTGTTGTGTGTTCTTTCTACTCCCAAAGTCTTCTGTGGTTCACCCCAGCAAGTGCCAAAAACATCTTAGCTATCCAAAATGCTAGCAGTAGCTGCCATTATTGAAAGATGTGACTTACATTCTGGCACTGCTAAGAACTTTTGCACCAGTTTATCCAAAGCAATACGATATGAAGAAAGTAGTTTCTTTCTGCTGTATTCAACTGTCATGAACTGTAACAAGTAATTCTGCACAAATATTTAGATTTGGCTTTCTGCTGCTTCACCTTCTTTGAAAGAAGCAGGGCAAGGACCATACTGCAGCCCGCATGTGATGCTGTCACTAAAATGCCTGTGAAATATTGAAAGCACAAAATTAGTATTACAGTTTCCATTGTACGTTTCTGGCTTGTATGTATTGAAACAACTTGTCAGTGATCTAAGACTGATCTAGGAAACATTAACTAGTTGTTTCTTTATCTTTTTTTCTAAATCCTTACAGTAGTTCAGAGTCTGAGATGGAGGAGGAAGATGAGGATGAAGATGATGAACTACTGTTGCCGCAGCAACCCCCTTCAGACTTGGGTGGTGTACCATGGAAAGAGGCTGTGCGTATCCATGCCCTCCTGAAGGGAAAGAGTGAGGAAGAGATTGAGGCTGAAGAAAATCATGAGATTGAGGAGGAAGAGGAGGAGGAGGAGGACGAAGAGGAGGAAGAGGAAGAGGAGTCAAGTGAAGGTTAGACTGATTTATCCTTCCTTTCCACTAGACAGCAGGGAAAACTGAGCTGAGTATTTGTCATGCAGAATGAGAAAGATTTACCTTGGAAAACTTTTCTTCTTCTTTCACTTCTTTATCGCTTTGATTTTTGAGGGAGTATTGTCAAGGAGAGCTTTAGGTAGATCATTCTGGATACAGAAGATCTTTGCCTGCAGGGCAGTTACAGCACTAGTTACCTACACAATATGCGTCTCACACATCATGCCAACATGTGCAATTCACAGCTCTGTGACACTGTATTGTTTTATTAATGTTTTTTATTCATATTGGGAATTGGATTTGAATATGCCCTTAGTTCTTTGGCAGCAAGAACTGGAAGCATTGTGGAAGCAGTGTTTTCAGTTTTGTAGAGTGCCTCACTTAAGGGGTGGTTCCCGGTAACTGTCATCAGGGCATCCCAGAAGCAGCTGCTTGTAGCTCTCAGTAAAAAGACAGACTTGAGAAACCAGAGAGGTCAGGTGGTTCCCATTTTAGCTGAGGGATTTCTGTGGAAAATCTTAGGGAAAGACACTTTTGCCTGTGTTTGTCTCAGTCATCAAAATGCAAAGTTTGTGCTAAGAATAGTCATGTTTCCAGTGTTTCACCACCGTGCCAAATTTCTTGCTGATCTTGTCGTTGTCTTTGTACTCACATTTCCTTTTTGTGAAGACTAGCAGACTCCAAAGAGCTTCTTCGTAGAGGTCTTTGGCTGCCTAATGCAAGCAGAGGTCCAGTTTTTTGAGTCCTAGTGGCAGTTTTGTTGATGAGCTCAGCAGGCTGCTTGCCTACTTTTTCAACGTAGGAGCTGTATCTCCATAACTGAAGTCTCTGGAAGTCAAGACTGCTATTTAAGTATGGTAACATGCATGTTGTGTATTTAGTCTGCTAAACCATGGTGTTCTTGGATGGACATTGTTTCATTTGAGCAGTTTTCCAGTCAGACACTTTGAATACAGCAGAAGTACAGGGAGTTGATGGATTTCCAGACAGTCTCTCTTTCTGATTCTGTCCTTTCTCTTCTTTCTCTTTCTCCATTGCTTGTGTGTGTACACGCATGTCTGATGTTATATATGGATGTGTGGTTCCCTCTGCTGTAGAGGGGGAGTATTGCCCTTGGGAGAGAGAGCTGCAGCAAGGCCTCTGGCTTCAACGTCTCTCAAATGAAGAGGACACGGGTACATTTAAAGGTACCCATATACCATCTCCACTTCCATTTCCCCGAGAAGGGGGGAATGTTTTAAAGAACAGGTCCCACATGAGAAGTTTCTGTGTTCTATTTAATTGCTTTATGAGTTCCTTAAAAACTGATTTGGTAGCTGTTGTTATCTTCGTCTCCTGGTCCAAGTGTCATATATCAGGTCTGACATTACCACTGATTTTAGGAAAAAGATAAAGCTGCCAAATACCTTCAGGATATCTAGAAAGCCTGGACAATTTGCTACTGTAATGCGCATGAACCGTGACCCTCCCACGCATTTAGGAGTTTCAGATTTGTTCTATGGACACAGACTAATTGTACCTGTGCGACATGTCAGACACATGGGACACATCAGAAGTACTGCCTTTAGATTGCCTGTGTCAGCAAACTTACGTTTTTTGTTGTTGTCCTTTGTGAGCGTGTGTCTGTGGGGAAAGTCTGTGGGAGAAGCTCATCAAGCTGTGGTGATCCCTCAAGATTTCTCAAACAGTCATACAATGGGCATAAAATTAATCTGACATTCCAATCTAACTGGTTGTGTTATTTTCCATGATGCATTATCTTGCAGTTTATTTCTGATGGTTGGTTTTTTTGAAGCACTTAGTCCTAATAGTTTGCTAATCCCTTACTCCCTCAATGTGGTTCATTAGAACCAGAATACATGAGAGGAAAATCCAGGTGCCTTCCTGCATGTAAGAAGGCATATGCAGTTGTCAGACTGCATATTTTGCAGTTTATGGTTGTAACAACTGTAGCTTAGCCTCTGACTTTTTTTTTTTTTTCTTTAAAAAAAAAAAAAAAAAGGAAGACATGTTACAATTTTTTCCAGTTTAACTTTTCTGATGGTAAGAATGAGAAGTATTAGTAAGATGGCTGAAGAGCATAAGTGGAGAAGTTCCCCCTGTTGCGGTTGCTAGTGTGCTTTAGACCTGGCTCCTAAGGAGTTGGTTTGTGGGTGGCTTCTTATTCCATTAAAGTTAAACACTGAGACTGCCCACTGCTTATAAAGTGCTGGTAGGTGCTATGGTGGAACTGGAGGGGAGAACTACCTTTCCAAATGTAAGTGCAATTAACGTCCAGTTTCCTTCAAAGCTTAGCAGCCAGCCTCAAGTGAAGGTTATGCCAGGTGTTGTTTTAAATTCTCAAGCATTTAGACCTCAAGCAAATGTTAGGTTTGCCTGTTAGCCAAGCAGCAATCCTTCATGGCTGGTTGTGCTGCTATTTATTTATTGGAAAAGGTGAGAAGGACCCATGTCCTAATCAGGACAGGCTCAGGTCTCTGTCTAGAGACTTGTGGATTAACTGAAGATGTGTATGCTACACTGGTCTAAATCCCAGAGGAATCTATTCTAAAACATGCAGATCATGTGGGACCTGCTCTTTCTGAGCCTTGCTGAGTGACTATATACTTCTCAGCCATTGCTGGCAAACCTAAACCTTTTAACACAAAACTTTGTGTGGCGATGCAAATGCTAACTCTACTCATCTTGGGGCCTGCATGCGAGTGCTTTGGTACAGAGGGAGAAAAGCCCAGGTTCCTGTCTCTGCAGGATGTCCGGTAGCTCTGGCAGACCATGTGGTTGTGCTAATTGATATGAAAACTCCCTGATGAGGTGGCAGAGACATAAAGCTGCTAAATACTTGGCTAAATTGTGAATTCTGCTCTGCATTTGAGTTTGTGCGTCTGAACCCTTTTCCCCTTTAATAACCAGCTGGTGATTCTGTCCTTCCTGCAGTTCCTTCTGCCTGATTCTTCTGCATTTTTAATGCTAAATCTCCCATATAGTCATTTCTGAAACAGAAGTCCCAAACACTTTGCTATGTCTAGGGAAAACATGGCGAGGAGAGAGGAATTCATTAAAACGAGACAGCAGGAAATAATGAGTGCAACCTCTAAATAAATGCTGCTAATGTTTCTTGTTTCCTTCAAGCACTAGTGCACCATGTGAAAATCTAACTGCTTTTGAGGTTCTAAACTGCTGAAACTGTTTTGCCCTACTCAGTGGTAATCCAGCTGTGTGAAAATTGACTTCCTGCTATATAAAGTAAGTGGGCATTTTCCTTTCAGGATGAGTCATTTGCTTTTGAAGACCAATCCTGGAGACGCTGAACACCTGTCCCCCATAGAATGACTTATTTTGAGTAAATAAAATCTGAGATGTAGTCCCATAGCAGATAGCAACAGAATCAGGATCTATGAATTTAATACTCACCTCAGGGTAGATGCTCCCGAGGTGGGTATTCTGCAGCAATTAAACAAGTTGCTTATCAGATGCTTTAGGTGCTCTTTGTTCCCTTAGACACCCGGTAAGCAGCTGAGCTTTGTGTAGGCATGTAATTGAGGAGTAATGTGATTTCTTTTAAACAAATTCATTTGTGCGACAGGAAATACCTTCTGGGGAGGTGGAGGGGCTGTTAAGTCATAATGAAAACGATGTTGTTCTTCCGAAAAAAAGTCTACCCTTAGAACAAGTCAGTACAAAAGAGCAGGAGTAAACAAAGTAGTGTTTTAGGTGCCAAGTAAGTGTGCGCCCATGTGTACGTACACCCACATGTGAAACTCTGAGATCCATCATGTAATTTAGTTCACAAAGGAATATGTATCCAGCATAGAAAGGAATGCTTAATCCTATAGTGGGAATGAAAGGCCTTTTGTTTTGGTGCATCAAACTACAATGCAGATTGTCCCTTGCCTTTAACAGCAAGATGTCTTTGGCAATAATTATAATGAATAGGCTGAAGGAGCTGGAAATTTCTGCTAAATTGATATTTACATACCACATACTGTTGGACACCTAGATAATGTCTTTCATTTCAGTGAAGCTGCTTGCAATAGAGATAATCTACAATGACGTTTTTAATAGCATCTCTCTGCCTTTGGAATGGCATTATTCGGCTTTCATGGGAAGTTTGAAGAGTGCTGTATTGGTGTATGTGTGCACACACAATGCTGAGCTTTTTCTGTCTATCTTGCAAACTGATCTTAGCCAGTAATATTTTCTTTTCTTCTTTTCTTATTTCCTTTCCTATGATGTGTTGCCTTTCCTTTCCACTATTCTTCCATCTCTTCATCCCTGCCCTTCATACACCCTGCCTACAACCTGGTATGCCATGCCCTCATCCTGCTAGCTGGAAACCTTAGACTGCAGCAGATTGTAAATCCGGTTGATCCTCTGGAGATCCTGGCAGATGTGCACTGGACACACATCCGTGAAAAAGAGGAGGAGGAAAAAATGGTCCCAACCTCAAAGTCCTCCACCTCCAGAGGTAATCTCCCCTAAGCCCCGCACTGTCAATTCCTGGATCATGGTTGCGGCTGATTAACTCTCTTGCTTCTGCACCCTTCAAGAGCACTGTACTTCATCAGGAGCAGCAGTGATTGAAAGGAACTACTTTCAAATTACACTGCAATTACACTTGGTTAAACATTTTGCTTTTCAGGTCAGTGTCTACTTAAAATGACTGCTTTCTCAGCTCCGTGGTCATGTTACTTCTTCTGATCCGTTTGTCTGCCTGCTTTGACTCCATAGTATGTTTCCTCACTACACCCATGATTTGATAGCTGGCAGTCAGCCCTAACTGACTTCAGGGATAGTAAAAGAAGCTATCATGTGCTTTTTGTGGCAGCGAGGACTCCTACGCTTCTCTAGGGGAAGCTGAAGGGCTATGTTGTGTAGCTACTACAGCAAAGATTACACAGGATCAGTTTCTGTATTGAGCGTATTTGCTGCTGCTTTTCAAAGCGTGTAACTGCATCTGGTATTAGTAGGGAGTGATGGGGTTCAAAGGGCTTGCAGGTCTGATCAGTAGTGGTTTTGACTCGTTGTGTTTAAGATTTGAACTGTATATCTATTTTTTAAAGTGAGGTGTGACTTTTGTGAGTTGCTAGTTATTTAAAGAAAAACTTCAGGGTGGGAAAATGCCAATAGTCTAGCTCTCTTGTAAGCACCTTCCAGCAGTCCCTGCTGGCCTTATTCTAGATTACATTACAGTGTGTTTTAAGGTAAGTATGTCATACATTCTTTACCTATGCAGAAGCCTAGGTTTAATAAAAGTTAACCATGCAGTTGATGTGTAGTGGTCTTCTCTCAGTCTGTAACCATTGTGCCAGACTTGTAGTGTATGCTGTGGGAAGGGGTGCCTTTTACAGCAAATGTGAAATCAAGTTAATGACTGATCTCTATTAAAAAAGCCTAGGGCTTTACCTCATGTTGCCTGATCATATTCCATGCCAGATAACTACGTTCTCCTTGTAGTTCTACATGTTTTGTTTTTTTAAGCCTGGTCTAACTTGATACAGAGTTCCAGATCAGTTTGGCCATGCTTATAATTGCTGTTTGTAGAATGCACTAGGATTTTCTGGTGTTAAATCTGCTCCCTACAAATAAGAGATAGGTATTTCTTTCCCACTGCAACCACAGAAATAGTCTGTGGTCAACTGTCTGTAACATTCAGTATTGCTAGAGTAGTTGCTTAACATTTAAAAAGGCTAAGTAAAAAATGTTAACACAGTTTCTTAAGCTTATTACAATTATGGTTGCTTTAATTTCTGCTTGAGGGTCCATATCACTATAGTTTCTAAATTCTTCTTTTAATTTGTAATTTGTAATTCCTACTTTTCCATAGTGGATTGGTAGAGCTGCCAGCAGAAGATGATCCTTCCAAAGCTGATTTTCTGATCTTTCCAACTTCCTTTGGGAAGGAAGGCAGTATTTCCTTTCCTTCCCCTAAAACTGAGGTGAACTAGGACAATCCTCATCATCAGATTAGCTGCTTCAGTTACTTTGTCATACAGTACAGGTGTGTGCAGGTATATCAGCAGTTTGGTTTATAAAGGGCTGCCACGAGTAAGTACTTGTGGATATGCTGTAAGTTTTCAACCTGAGTTCAGTAGACAAATTTGCTCCTGGCTGAGCTGTATTCTTTGGTATGAGGTGTTTGGAGAGCCCAGCAGTAGCAGCGGCGATAGGGTTTGATAGGAAAGCCTGGGGTAGTGTGGTGGTACACAGAAGCCCCTCTCGTTCTGCTTTGGGCGCTGCTCTTCATCTGTTGGCATTCTCACCCAGGCAGCACAGGTTCTGGGGTGCCTGTTACGACTTCCCCTCTCTCATTGCTCAGCTCTTTCATCTCTTAGTTTCCCTCCTCTGCAGAGTTTCAAGTGGACTACAACAGCAGCAACCTGCTGGTCAGATGCAGTGTTTTTCTCGCTGTGCCTGTCTGTATTTCCTCTAGCATTACAGATTCTAAAGGAAGATTAGGCCCCTGACATTTGTATGTTATCTCAATTTAAATCCCAAGCCTGGAATCGGTTGTTTAACATCTCATAGGTTTTATTTCTGTATTTGCTACTGAAAATTTTCCCTTTGTCGCTCTTCTGTTTTAGACACTTCCTGATGGTCTGATTTTGATTTCTTGCAATTTATTGTTTTTTAAATTCAGCATCCGACCTTCCCTCCGTACGCCATGAGGCGGTACAGGCGTGGCTGGAGACGGTCCCTGGAGGTAGTTTGGTGATGTTCTATGTATTCCAATGCACAATAACCCTGCCCGTCTCTTCTCCATGCCTTCAGCAGCTGAGCTGGTACTTTAACCCTGGAACTTATGGCCCTGTCGCTACTGCATGACTGGACGTGGAGGGAGGGAGGAAGGGGGAGTGTGCATGCACGCCTTGCTCAGACAGTCCATTCTTGCATGAACTTGACATTTGTTGTAACCCTTGTGAAGGCAGGCCAAACAGAGAGATTGTCTTGGGTGTAATAAAGTAGGAGGAAGAATCTAGTTGAGTGCTTCAATTTGCTTTGTAAACTGAAGACTTGGACCAGTTATTCTTCCCCTAGTTCCTTGACTAAAAGAGCATGAGGCTTTCTTGCGGTTGAAAGATAAGTGACAGAGAGTGCTTAAAGCCACTGCAGTTCTCTGTAGCAACTGCAGATTCTAGTTATCTGGTGAAGAAAACAAGAAATAATAATAAGGTTGAAGCTGGGATCTTTAGGAATAGTGGTGGCTGTGGTGTCTCCTTTGACTTGGGGTTCACGTTATTTGGGAAAGCCTCAGGAAAGCTGAAGGGTGGTAGAGCTCAGCTGCTTTTTTTACGTGGTCCTCAGCTTTATTAAAAAACTGATGAACATGAAGATTCTGGGAGTAGAGTAAGGGAGTAAATTTATGTAGAGTGGTGAAGATAAATCAGTGGAACAGCCATAGCTTGTGGTTAGGTAGTTGATCTACAGCTAAGTTGCTTTGGCACGTCAGAATAGCTAGCTTGCCTATAAAACTCTGCTTCTGCTGCTGCTTTTGCAAGGCAGCAGTGTTTACAAGATGTCTGCACACGATGCAGTCTGTTCACGGCTGCTAGCTGATATGAACCAAGTGCTGATCCCAGTTTCTGGCTGCCATAGCGTATAGCTTCTGAGTTATTGTGTGACAGCTTTTGGCCTCTTGCTCCTTATCCTAACTGCATATACATATATGCACAGTATATGTGTAATATAACCAGCGACCTGCAAGCTCTCCATGTCCCCCAAAATGGGATCTACCCTTGCACCAAGTTGTAACTTATCTATGCACCTGTAATATTCTGTTGAGTTTTGTGTACCAACTTATTTAAGAACTGATTTTCTCGTCTCTCTCCAACACTCCCTATGTGTGTCGTGTCAGTTCATGGTTTCTGGATCTGAAGACACACATGCGTAGCGGTATCAGATATTCCTGACATTGGAGTTACATTTTGCAGATTTTGATTAAGATTACTCACACTTGCTGCTATCATAAAACCATCCAATGACATTATTATTTCCAAAATAACATAAGCTACCGCATACCTAAGCAACAATCAGACTGGGACACAGTTTGGTTTTGTACAGCAGATTTGTAAATGCCCCCGTGGGCAGTCCAGCCTTTGCCATGATTCAGTCTCCTACTCTCAACATCTCTAAGCCTCTGATGTAAGGGAATAGGCCAGATATATATGTAAGTGTAGCTGCCTTTTCACAGTAGTTGACAGGAAATAAACTAGCCCATATGTTTTTCTGTCTTAATGCTACAGAGGGATAAAGCGTGGTAAAAGAGAAATTTTCTGGTTGAAGGAAGAAGACAAACAACCCACTGAAGGCTGTGTTTTGAAATAAGCAAAAACTTGTATTAGAGAAAGAGGAGAGGCTGCAAGACCTCAATTTTGGGGAGGGTTGGTTTGTTTTCAAGTTTGTCTGAATTAGGAATGCTAGCATGTGGTTCCAAAAGCCACATCGTCACTAGTAAACAAAAAAGGATCAGGGCCTATTCCCTGACTCAGGAGAAAGCTGGCCCAGCATGATTCACTCCCGTTTGGCTAAACTTTTTTGCCATCCAGAATCAGGGGGCTGCGACCGGACTGCCTGTTGGAAACAGCCTCTAGCCCTACCACAGGGACTGACTGCCGGGAGTCGTGCCAGGAGCCCTCCTGGAGATGACAGTGTGACACTGTATGCATCCAGATCTAGAGACTTGCACCGCTTAGTTTACTGATACAGGTGCAACCAAGGACATTATAAATATATATATGTTGTCATCGTTATAGGACCATATTCTCTGTGTATAATTAGCAAACACTGTGCATAATAATATATGCTGACTGTGTATGCATTTGCAATAGGACATACAACAGTTAAATGGCTGCATGTTGTTGAACATGAATTGATGCTAACGCACTGCACAAATTAAAAATGTACTTGACCGACTACTGTGGAAAAAGAACTGGAAGTGCTTGTTTCTTTCTTTTTGTACTTAAAATATGTTTTACAAAAATGCTTAACAAAAAAAAAAAAATTAAGCGAATTATCTGTAGCACTAGAGATGGGACAAGGTGTCATAAGGTTTAGTTTTTTTTTTAAAAAGTATCACTTAATAATGACATTTAGACTCCACAGTTTGGTCTTGTCTCTCCTCCTGTAATTAAAGCCTATCACAAGTAGCAATGTCAAATGCCCTTTTCAGAGTTATAAATTCAATAATATTTTCTTTATTTTGACCCAGCAAGTCAAACTATGATCTGTAACAGAAAAGAAAGTTTTCAATATATCTTTTTACTTAAAAATATCTCAATTAATTTGTGTCTTAGTTACTTGTACAGCATATCAAGTCTCTTAGTCCCTTTTACCAGACTACTGTAGCTGCACAGAGTTAGACAGTTTCCAGATGTAATAATGATCAATCCCAGAGCTAGACTCTGTCTCTGACTTACACCCTCAAAAGCCTGTTTCAATTTCAAGATGCACAGTTGTGGTTCTTCTGAAATTTCAGTTTTCACCTAATAGACATATGCTGTAAAGTGGTGGTAACTGTTCTGGTGTGGTAAAGAAAAAAAAATAATTTTCCTGGAAGAACAGTAAAATCTATTCTGGTTTGATGTCCTCCCAGTCCCCTTCTTGTTTAATGATTCACAAGGCCTGTTGCTTAGAAAAGCCCTGGCTACTTTCACTGTAAATGCCTTGATGACAAGGGCAGACATTCTTTGATTCGCTGGAGTCTGAAAGTATAATTTCACCATAGATGTCTTTCCAGGTGACACATTTCAGGATTTGTTGTTTTGGCAGTAGTTAATGAATATCTCCACTATAAACTGTTGTCACAGTTCAACGTTGAACCTTTTCACTGTATAGTTTTTTGTTTTGTTTTGTTTTGTTTTTTTTCAATATTTAATATATTCTAGCTCCATGTGAGGATAATTATGTGGAGGACGAGCTGGGCACAGAGCCTGCAGACACAGAAGGGCAGGCAGGTGAAGAGGGAGACACGGGTGCAGAGCTGGATGACGGTAGGGTACCACTGTGCATCATTTAAACCTGTGTATGAGGGTACTTAAATGTGATCTTATTTTTAGTGATGTAGGAGTTTGTTTCCAAGTAATCAAGAGGGAGCCAGGAGTGAAGGACAAAAAGAAACAGAACCAACTTGATGCCATGGGATGTAGAATAAATTTCTCACCATCTGCTAACTAGAGGGCTTGGTCTTGTGTCCGTATTCAGTACTAATCCTGCTGAATAACAGAAATAAATTTGTGAAAAGTCCACAATATTATGCCAAAAATCTTCCCTTTGTAGTGTAAAATGAACTGCATATGCCAGAAAACATTGACAAATTTCCAGAAAACTGGTAACATATGAGTTCAATTACTAATTTATTTATTTGTACTAATAGTCCATCATTTACTGCTTAAATTACTCTAATTAGCACACAAAAAAAGGAGTGAAACATTTAGGTGTTCAGGTTATCAAAGTGATTAGCACCATGTGAATAGAAAGAAAGGATTATGAAAGATTTTAAAATAATAAACAAATATCCTGATGTACTTGTTTCCAAAATCTCTTGTTTTTTTCTGCTGCCTCGTCCACGATCAGACGACATCCCATCTGATGCAGAAGCGGAGTTTCGCTTACATCAAGGTGGTGTAGAAGAGCCAGAACTAAAAGTCTCTGAAGATGAAGAAGATGAAGAAGGAACAGAAGGTGCTTCTTGCAGTGTGACAGAAGGTAATAGCTTTCCCATCAGGGTTTGAATGATTGTAATTGCATTTGACATAGTCTATACATTTACTAGATTTAAGAGAAGACAGTCTCTTGGATTTGAACCATCTCGCTACTCTCAGTGGCAAGGTATGTACTTGCATTAATGTTTTGTGAAGAATGTTCTGAATCCATTAACTACAACTTCCTAAAGTGTGAGGACCCATCTGACTGCTTTTTCTTGCAGAAGTTCTTATGTTAAAAGAGCTTGTACCATTTTGGACATTTAAAAATTTTTGTCTATGTTCCAGATGTCCACTCTTGGAATTTGTAAAAAGCTAAGAAATTTGTCACTATTTTCTGTGTGTAACATTAAAAAAAAAAAAGTGTATAGTGGTCTCATGTGGTTTTGGAAATGTTTTTGCTTTCCCTAGATCCATTCAAGCCATCCATCCCTATCCAGTCATCTAGTGACAGTGTTCTTCCTCCTTCTCCAGTTGATAGTCCCAAAACAAAACAAGCAGAGGTAAGAAAGGGAATCTTTGAAGTTTTGTACTTATTTCCTGTAGTTAATAGAACAGTTTTTTGGATAAACTAATGAGGACTGACAAGAGTGGGCTGTCCTCCTTTCCCGTGTCTATAATTTATGTTGGTCTTCTTGAAATCTGACTTAAAAAATAATGTACTATATTTCTTTCCTATCTTCAGAGTGTAGTCACAGTCACACAAGTTCACATCACAAAGCCCCAAAAAGAATCATACAGGATATTTTCATTTGAATGTGCAGTTAACAAGATACGGCTCCCCTCATACACTATATATATAAAGTAAGGTGTTTCCTGTTTATCCTGGTTTGGCTATCTTTTCTGTACCAAAAGCAGATTCTATACAGTTGCAATTCAAAATTACATTTATATTACTTAATAGTAACCAAAGCAGTACTTATATATTCCAGTTCAGCTTAAGGAAGTGAGACTTGTCAATGATGTACTGTCATGTTGTCAGCCCTGGAGTGAGCATGCAAACGTATTGTGGAGTTCCCAGCTACTGGTGTGTAAGAGCAGAAAGTACATGACCCTTAAAATGTTCAATTCAAATTTCTTCTTCCTAAGTGTTTGTTTTTAAGGAATTACTAAAAGATTAGGCTTTATCCGAGAGAGTTTTGTCAAAAAACATTTTATTTTTTCAATGGACGCATTATGGGACAAGGCTGGTTTGCCAACAGCAATTGCTGACAGCATTCACTTTCTATTAAAATTAAGCGTTTTTTTTTTTCAGGACCACCTGATAATTCTGTTAGGCATAGTAATTATTTATATTAGGACGGTGCCTAAATACAGTACTCAAGACCTGGGTATTTAATATGTGTCATACAAGCACACAGATAGAGAGGTTCATGCTTTGATGGTCATGTGTCAGTTAAACCAAACTGTCTGCATTCAAAAGAAAGCTGGTGAAAACAATGTAATTGTAAAGAATAATACCAGGACTCAGTAAGAGGAGTCAACTGTCAAAGGATTGAATTCAAAACCAGGGAATTGTGCTGCTGAGTAAAATGGCAGTCTGAATGTAGGAAATGAAAACCAAGACTTATCAGACCATTAAGGGACAAGGGAATTGCAGCCTAATTTATTTACTCTTAACATAGAAAGCACCCCTTGCTTTAAGAAAACATCACAGCAGACACTAGCCAGCAGAAAGTGCTGTATTGATGAGAGCTGGAGAAACTTGCATCAAATCTGTCTGAGATAGGGGACCACCAAAAAACACAGAGTTGGAGATTTAAAGGGGGAGCAGGAAAAGATAGAAACAGATTTCTGGGATTGAGTTTAGTGTATTCCAAAAATTGCCTTGTTGTCATCTACAGAGGATAGTTTATACAGTGGGACAGAAGAATGAACGGTATCTGATGAGAAATCCTAAGTGATGTTCCAGGCCTTCAAATGGGATGCTATGTGTGGATTTTTTCATGTTTCGATACTTGGATGGTTTCTTTATTGCTAACTTTGTTAAAAGCAACAAAAAATGGAACAGTATTCTAATCTGCCTGGTGACAATTAATATTTCCCTTTTTCAATTTTTGTAGGATGTAAAAGATCCCCTGACTGAAGTAACTCATGCAATAAAATCACCAGAGGCACGCTTTTTCCCTGAGCCTTTCCTTCCTGAAGAAGGACCAACGGATGAAATTCCCAAAGACAGGAAAGTAAAGAGTCCTTTGGTGCCACCATCTCCAGTGTTATCCCAGCCGGTTGCATCACCAGAAGCCATTGCACCTACGTCACTATCAGAGTCTCAGCCAGCAGCACCAGCACTGACTTCATCCCCAACATCTGCTCAAACGCCCATCTGTTCCCAGCCTTTGCCTTCTGCCGAAACATCCATTCCATCCCCAGTGGAGCCTCCAGTATGTTTCCAACCTGTCCCAGCCTTAACATCTACTCCTTTAGCCAAACTGGTCATTAGGGGCCAGGATAGTGAGTTGGAAAAACTGGGGAGCCCTACTACTGCAGAAGAAGCCCTGAAACGGAGTAACCTTGTAGAAGAGTTCTGGATGAAGAGTGCTGAAATTCGGAGGAGTTTAGGGCTCACCCCAGTAGACAGAAATAGACGCTCAGAGACAAACTTTACTGTATCTGCCCTTGAGACAACTCCTCTGAAGACTTATAATAGCGAGAATATTTCAGGGGATGAAAGGATCCGTCTTGTGAAACCCCAGCCTGCCCCAAGACGGCAGGGACTGTCCAAGTTAGAAAATGAGCAGATTTCTCTTCTCACTCCAAAATCTCCATCAGAAAAAGAGCTAAAGAGTTCCAGTGAAGTAAGGAGAGATGTATCCAGCAGTTCTGGACTTGGCCTTCAGGAGAGCTCATCTAACATGAGAACTATGGCTAGTCAGAGCTTCAACACTTCTGACTCTACAATGCTTACTCCTCCGTCAAGTCCACCACCACCACCTCCTCAGGGTGAAGAACCAGCCACTTTGCGTAGAAAGAGGTATCAGGCAGTCTGGCAGAATGAGGTTGAAGCCAGGTCACCTCCAACACCAGCATCAACACCTCCTGCTCCCCCACGCCATGAGCTGACCTCTGCTGCCAGAGAGTCAACTCAGGCCAAAAAAGATGACATGCGGAAGTCTTTTGCAGAGAGTGTGGATGAGATTCCATTTGCTGATGATGTAGAAGACACATATGATGACAGGACAGAGGACTCAAGCCTTCATGAGAAGTTCTTTACACCTCCTACCAGTAGGCCAAGGCCAGAGAAACCACGTCTTTTGCCCTTGGTCAAAGAAAATGGTGGTCCTCCCTCAATGGAAGGAGGGGTTAACCAGAAGAAGAGAGTGTTGCCTGAAATTTCTGCAGAGGCCAAGGAGCTTGCTGAAGAAAGAATGAGAGCCAGAGAGAAGTCTGTCAAGAGCCAAGCACTACGTGATGCCATGGCTAAACAGTTGTGTAAGATGAAAGATATGGAGATGGCTGCAGCTGCTGCTGCTGGGGCCACAAGGGCACGGAAGGCATCTTCTATGCCCTTGAAGACCAAAGAGTTGTTTTATGACTCTCCAAAGCACCTGGCCTTGAAAATAGCAGAGGGATCCACACGAAAGCATGATGCTGCTAGCGAGAAGTTCTCCACTCCTGCTGCTGATATGGCTGGACCTGAAGGGTCTGTCACCTCTTCAGAAGGCTCGAGTGGGAAGAGTAAGAAAAGAACTTCTCTCTTCTCTCCTCGTAAGAACAAAAAGGAGAAGAAAACCAAAAATGACAGCAGGCTTTCTGACAAATCTAGTGGTGGGACAGAGGAAGCAACAAAGCCTAGGTCGTTATGGAAGTCTGTTTTCTCTGGGTATAAAAAAGACAAGAAGAAAAAGACTGATGACAAATCCTGCCCAAGTACTCCCTCAAGTAGTGCCACTGTGGATTCTGGCAAGCACAAAGCTTCTCTGTTGGTTACAGCTGCAGGTATAATAGATATGTGCCTCTGCACTGTGTACTTCTCCTACAGCTAGGTATCGTTGAAAGTAAGTTTGGTTTACTTTGTCATTCAACTATTGTGCTGAATGACACTGCTCCCCAGTGCAGATCAAGTTAAGTGCTAGAATTATATGTTTACATATTGACAGAATTAGTTGATATGTCACTGAAAAAAATGAATCCTTAAATAAAAGCTTCACTCGCAATATGTACAAGGCACATCTGTTTTCTGCCTTAAGCTGATTTGAGAAATAAGCAGTTTGTTGGGATCAGTTGTTTGTGACATTTCATCTCAATTTTAAATCTGGTTCTCATCTTTTCCTTGGGTGGTCTCTTCTCTTGCTTTCAACCTGGCTCCAAGGGTGCTGAAGACAGCAGAGATGCAGAGTATTCTCAGTGATCTGGCAACTGTCTGCTGATCTACGAAGTAGGGATTCTGCGGCCTCATATAAATCTCTCATCCTGTCAGGTGCAGGTGGAGATGTTTAATAGCAACTTCTGATACAGTAAATAAGTTAGCCATAAAGGTGATTGAAAGCAAACATGTTACATTTCTCCGGGCTTGTAAAAATAGCCAAAATAGTGCCTACTGCTGTCATCTAAGTACTGTATCTATTGTAAGAGCATTGATACAGTACAAAGAGAGAATCATGACCATTATTTTTAACAGCGTTTGCAGAAAGCGCTGCTTCTTAGAATGAAGCTTCTAACTAATATTGATCATTTTGCAGAGCAGTGCTTCTCTGATCACTCTGTAATCCCAGGCGAAGTGACTGAGACTGGCATAAAAGGACTAAGTGTTTTTGAAGCTCAATCAAACAACTTACAACTGAGTTCTGAAATGTTAACAGAAAGAATCGTTACCACTTCTCTAACTTCCCCTTTTTATTCCCGACTTCTCAGATTTGCAGCTCCGTCAACACCTGAGTTTCTCAGAGGACTCTGACCTTTCAAGCGATGATATTCTGGAACGTTCCTCCCAAAAATCCAAGCGAGAGGTAAGCAGATGGCAAATGCATTTTAGATGGATCTAGCACCGTGCAGATCACGGACTCAGAGAACCACATCAGAAACCTGAATGATTAATTTTGTTGTTCTTACTGTTTCTTCCACGGACCAGGCTTTCCTGTAAGTTGGCTGACTGTTCCGCCTAAAGTAGGTCGGTTTCACTTGGTTTCACAATTGCAAGCTACTCCCCACAATTGTTATATGAAGGATCTGTTGTCTCACTGTGACATTACAACAAATATCACAGGCAGAATACTGAATTTTGTCCCTGTTGTGAGCATGCCAGTGATCTACAGAAAACAGACATTTAATGTCGTAAGAGTAAATTTCACTGTCTCTAATGTTATTGTGAAAAGATAACAATGAGACAGTTCATACATTTTGTAAGGGCCCAATTTTAGGATATTGTTTTACCAGCCTCTTTGATAGACTGAAGTGGTAGAATTCCAAACAAACTACAGACAGGAATGTACTTTTGCATACATCAAGAACATAGTCAACACAGATCATCAGCTAAGAGGTAAGACACAGACTGCAGTTTTGCAGCTTATGCAAGTTTGCTTATTTTTCCTGGGAGAAGACAATGTGTACAGTCTGAATTTGTACCTTCTCTTTTTGGAGAAAAGATGGGCCATCAGCTGTTCCTTCCATTTTGACCCTGTTTTCTTTGAGGACTGAGAGTTATAGAATCATGTAATCATTTAGGTTGGAAAAGATCTTTAAGATCGAGTCTGTTGCTGAGTATTTCCATATGTCTTTGTGTGTAGATAACAACTGTGAAGCTGAAATACATAGTAGCGAGACCCTATGAAATGCCAGTATATAGGGGTTGGTCTTAGCCTGGTGTTTTTGTTGCCGTGTGGTCTGGTATAAATTGCTTCTTGTGAGAGCTGTTTCTTGTTCCTGACCACCTTCCCTAGATAGTGCTATAATATCATACTGTAAGACACATCAACGGCTTTCTAGCCAAAGTAGTTTCACTTTAAATGGTGCTTTAAGGAAGTTACTGAGGAGGAAGGAGAAGACACAAGTGGGTCTCCATAAAAGCCCAGAGAGAAAAATACATTTGCAAAAATATTTATATGTGGAAATTATATGGTGAGAGTCAAGTGGCAAAGTTTGGTTGCTTTTAAATTACTTCAATTTTAGGATGGCAGTATTAATGCAAAAATAAGTGAAAAATGTAAGGAACAGTTGAATCATAGTAATGGGGAAGAGCCCTTTAATTCCTGAGAGCTTCTAAGCTCTGCTAGACAGAGTTTGCAAGGTTTGGAGAAATAAGTAGAGATTTCACTGACCACACAGAACACTAAGGCCCATCTGGTACTGAAGAATGAAAAAAGTGTTTCCTCTGTCCCTTCCTGCTGGTGCCTGGTTCACAGGTTGAAAAAACTCGGGAAGAATAGAGCACCTGAGAGGGTAGTGTCACAGGCACGGTGGCCTGTGCCTGCTTTCTCAAACCTGTCATCCAGTGTGCACAAATCAGTGTCAGGTAGTTGATACTTGGCTCAGATGGCAAATGTATGGAAGTACTGCAAATTGAAGTGTCACAGGAAGTGCTTTCTATGTATATGTAGTGAAATGAATTAGAATAGATAATGAATTTAAGGCTGCTGGAAGGAGTTGATGAAGTAAGTAGGAATTTTCTGTATTTACTTACCTCTCTTTTAATCTCTCTCCCTAGTTGATCTAGAACTCTTCTAAGAGGAAGATTATTTTGTCTTTATTTTATTCCCTTTTTTCTCTTCTCCCTTCCATTCCTCCTTGCATGCCCTCAAGGCGTTTCATGAGAAATTCTGCATTTTCCGAGAGATGCAGAAGAATGAGGTACCTGTGGCTAGCAGAGGACAGATATGCAATACAGGGGGTTCAGATAAGAGTTACGGAGTTACTGTTCTGCCTTGTAAGCTCCTTCAGGAGGAAGCAGAGCTTCACTAAGGTCCATGCTTGGTTTTAGACTTCAGTATGCCTTGATGGTCTCTTTTTTTTCCTGTGCTGAGCTACTTTGAATTAAAATGGCTCTTGCAGGAAAAAAGATCTCATCACTAAGCATTGGAGGGGGATAGGTGACAGTGGCAGATGCCTGTAATCCTAATACTGAAAATATCTCACCTGAGTATGGTGGTAGTGTCTCATTTTCTACCATTTGCTGTTGCTGAAGTTACATTGCTCAGCATCTGCCTATTTTCTAAAGAATAATTCTGAGAATGCATTTATTTAGAGGAAACAAATCCAAGAACTCCACTTACCTAGTTTTATTGCATCCTGTCTGAGGATGTAGAACATACATGCAAACACTGGAATGCCTTGCTGTCAAAAGAAATGTAACTGATCTTCGAGACTGACAAACTGGGTTTGTACTGATTTGAGGTGGGGGTTATATTTTTTAAGTTACAAACTGCCTGCTACTTATTATGGGTAAGAGTTGGCTTCCTGTGTGCCACATGACTTTTATGTGAACCCCTTCTCTAAACTGAAATTCTGCTTGTGCTGCTTTTTTGGTAATTGTAGTGGGCTTGCTTCCCAGACAGCTTGCTCTGTTTAGCCTGTTCTTTGTGATCAGCAGTGAATTAGTTCAGTGTTGTCTAATGTAGTGTCTTTCAAGAGAAGCGTCTTGTAAAGAATTCCTAATGTAAATGCCCTGTGGGTCTTGTGTTTATAGGTGTATGTCATTGTGTGTGTGTTTGTCATTGTTCCCGTATAATTGTGGTATTGTGATCAGACATGTGTTTTACTACTGCAGGTAGCTTGCTTTTTATTGAAGTTGGCATACATGCTGAAGTTGTTCTATGGCTTTGCATTTGTGACTGGTTTTAGTCAATTGAATGTGAAAATGCAAAATGTTGGTTGTCTGCCCAGAATGGCACAATGCCGTCTGTATACAGGGGCAAATTTACCTCTCTTATAAACCCCAAGTAGCTTGCTTGCCTTATTTTTGAGGACAGGGTAATGTAGAATGTCCTTGGATAGAGAAGGTAGTGAGTTTTTCTCATCTTCCTCCTTTCCCTCCTCTCCTCTTCCTCTTTTCTCGTTCTTCTCCCCCCTTCTCCCCCCTTCTCCCCCTTTCTCCCCCCTTCTCCCCCCCTTCTCCTTCCCATAATTTTAGCCTCTCAGGCTCTCCGGAGGCTCTCTCTTCAGACAGGGAGAATCCATTATTATAGCACACATAACCCACTTTGAGCCCATTTGGTGTTTCTCCTGTCACAAAGCGGTGAGGAAGATTCATGATGTTAGTTAAATACAAATGATCATTTCTATGAAGTAGAGATAATCTAAAACCATGAAATAAATACAACTCCTAGGAGAGGTTGTAAATCAGGTTGTAAATGGAGAGTTGTGTGACAGAATAATGTATGGTTGGCTGAGCTGGTTCAGACCAAACATGTCCCAGCATAAGCCATTATTCCAAATCCTAAACCAAAATTTTCTATGTGTACATACACGTACTTGCTCAGTGGACATTAAAACCATAGGTAGATAAAGGCTAAATAATTCCTCTAGAAAAAAGTATTTCCAAGTTGACTGTATCTTCAGAGAGGCTGCCAAAGCTAATTGTCTTCAGCAGAGTGGTAGAAACTTGATTTTGCGGACAAAAGTTCCATTGTCCTTCATCAGTCTGGGTCACGTTCAGCATTTGCACAATTTTATGTTTCATTTAAAAACAGCTTTGTTTTATTACTGTGCATCTGTTTTCAATGTTGAACTGATTTTGCTTCATTTTGTACGTTTTTTTTATTTTTTTTTTCCTTTACCATTCCCCCTTTAAAGTCGATTTATGTACCACACGCCTTGGCATTCAAGAGATCATATTCGTCAAAGGTAGTGTCTCCATTCCCACTAGTTGGCCATTGTTGCATTGCATGTCCCTATATTAACCCATTGAATCCATAGCTACCCATCACATATGCACTAACATCACAAACATTGACTGCATGCATGAGATGTTAGCAGACATGGGCAGCAAATTCTTTGTAGAGGTTGTCTACCAAAAATGCCTTTAGCTCCAGATTGTCTGTCTAGTTAGAATGCATGCAATTATCAGTGCACAGCAGTGCGCCACTGTACAGAGTGATGTGGAAGATCTTTGAGCTTCAGAACAAATTGGTTTTCAAGGCAATTAAATACAGAATCATAGAAACATAGAATGGTTTGGGTTGGAAGGGACCTTAAAGTTCATTTAGTTCCAACCCCCCTGCCACGGGCAGGGACACCTCCCACTAGGTCAGGTTGCTCCCAGCCCCGTCCAACCTGGCCTTGAACCCTTCCAGGGAGGGGGCAGCCACAGCTTCTCTGGGCAATGCCTGTGCTAGTGCCTTACCACATTCATAGTGAAGAGTTTCTTCCTTAGACCTAATCTGAATCTACCCTGTTTCAGTTTAAAACTGTTACCCCTTGCCCTATCACTACACCCCCGGACAAAGAGTCCCTTCCCGTTCTTCCTGCAGGCCCCCTTTCAGTACTGGAAGGCCGCTATAAGGTTTCCCCAGAGCTTTCTCTTCTCCAGGCTGAACAACCCCAGCTCTCTCAGCTTGTCCTCACAGGGGAGGTGCTCCAGCCGCCTGATCATCTTTGTGGCCTCCTCTGGACCCTGTCAAGCAGGACCATGTCTTTTTTATGTTGAGGCCCCAGAGCTGGACACAGCACTGCAGGTGGGGTCTCACAAAAGCGGAATAGAGGGGGAGAATCCCCCTCCCTCGACCTGCTGGCCACACTTCTCTTGATGCAGCCCAGGAGCAAGTGCACTTTCTGCAAGCGCACATTACTGGCTCGTATTCAATTTTCCATCCACTAATACCCCCAGGTCCTTCTCCAGAGGGCTGCTATCCACCCACTCATCACCCAGCCTGTATTCGTGCTTGGGATTGCCTCAGCCCATGTGCAGGACCTTGCACTTGGCCATGTTGATCTTCATGAGGTTTGCACAGGCCCGCCTCTGAAGCCCGTCAGGGTCCCTCTGGATGGCATCCCTTCCCTCCAGCATGTTGACCTCACCACACAGCTTGGTGTCGTTGGTGAATTTGCTGAGGGTGCACTCAACCACACTGTCCATGTTGCTGACAAAGATGTTAAATAGAGGCAGTCCCAATACCAACCCCTGAGCAATGTCACTCATCACTTCTCTCATCAGTTGCTCTTCCCTTATCCACCAACACTGTGAGACCATCGCAGAAGGCCACCAAATTTGTCAGGCACCATTTGCCCTTGGTGAAGCCATGTTGACTGTCACCAATCGCCTCCTTATTTTCCCAGTGCCCTCGCACAGCTTCCAGAAGGATCTGCTCCACGATCTTGCCAGGCACAGAGGTGAGACTGACTGGCTTGTAGTTCTCCAGGCCTTCCTTTTTTCTCTTTTTAAAAATGGGGGTTATGTTTCCCCTTTTCCAGTCAGCAGGAACTTCACTAGACTGCCATGACTTCTCAAATGTAATGGATAGTGGCTTAGCCACTTAATCTGCCAGTTCCCTCAGGATCTGTGGATGCATCTCATCAGGTCCCATGGACTTGTGCACCTTCAGGTTCCTTACATTATCTCACACATGATCATCTCGTACAGTGGGCAGTTCTTTATTCTCCCAGTCCCAGCCTTTGCTTTCTGTGACTTGGGTGGTGTGGCTGGAGCCCTTGCCAGTGAAGGCTGAAACAAAAAAGTCATTGAGTACCTCAGCCTTCTCCATATCCCGGGTAACAAGTTCTTCCATTTTCTTCTGGAGAGGGCCCACATTTTCCATAGTCTTCCTTTTATCACTGATGTGTACCTATAGAAGCTTTCCTTGTTCCCTTTGCTGTCCATGGCCAGATTTAATTCTATCAGGGTTTAGGCCTTCCTAATCTGATTCCTGGCTGTTTGGACAATTTCTCTGTATTTCTCCCAGGCTCTCTGTCCTGACTGCCATCCTCTGTAGGCTTCCTTTTGGTGTTTGAAAACATGTATTCTTTTTTTAATACTTAGAATATGAGTTCAAGTGAACCATCAGACTTTAATCAGCACCCTTCAAAATTGTTGAGTTAACTGAGATCTTAGTGAAACTATATCAAGCTAAAATCAAGACAGAGGTCCCATTTCTATTTCATGAATGTTGCTGCTTTCTGAAATTCTTATTGTCCTGCCTTCACAGTCACAACAGTGTTACATGGGATAGGAAAGTCACACCCTCTGATTTGGGTATCATTGTGGATTTTGTGCTTTAAAAAAAGAAAGAAAGAGTGAAGTGCTAACTTCTTGGAGCTCTAACAATGGTGCTTGCTAACCACCTATATGAGGGATTTTTAATAGAGCTGTGATCCTAACTTAAATTCTGTTAATTGAGAACAATAAACCAGAGGTAGACTGACCAATGTGGCAGTACAATAACTAGATAAAGCAAATTTCAGGGTGGTCTGTCTTAACATTTTTTCTTTAAAGTTGCCTGTCCATGGAGAAGATCTCTTTCCAGAAGTGGAATACATCTGTTTACAACTGTACCTTAAAGCTTACATAAATGTATTTGAGAAGAGAGTTCTTTTCTTCACTGTAGTTCACTTAATGCAGTTATGAAGTTTCTTTGACACTCTTAAAAGTCTATGAGAGGAAGCCCTCCTACAACACAACCAACTAGTATACTTGGTAAGATACTAAACCCCATTTCAGTAGTGTTAAAAAGACTTGCTTATTTTAAAACTAGTTGCGCTGAGAGAAGAGGAGGAAATACTGCTCTATTTCCATAAACAATGCCTTTCTCCTTTTGGATGACTTCTGGTGTTGTGACATTCTAATTTTAGTTTAGGGATTGTTTGCTCTGTTTTACACCAACTAGTTCTGTGGGGTTTCTCTTGAAATGGGATTTCCCATCTCACACCAGAATGTCATTCTGCTTTCAAATGTTATTTTTTGCCTTCATTACCAGTTATACCAGCATAACTCCCAACTATGGATATCATCACTCCAGAATAAAACAGGGAGAGGGAAATACCAATACAACTACACTAGTCTATAATAATTTCTTAGCTTATACTGCTGTAACTGTTCATATAGACATGCCTCTACCCTCTTTTAAAATTACATCAAGGTGACCCCTCTATATGGTACTCATTGATTTAACTAAATTCATTTAGCTAAATCTGTTGAGAAACAGAATAAAACTTAATTTGATCTTTGGGGACAGGTTTCGTATAGCAATGGAAGACAGGGGTGGGACATTGTGTAAAATCACAGCTTTGCAGTTGGCTTATTTGCTTCTTCACTCCTGATTTGACCCTGAAATTGTTGCTCACTGCACTGTGAACACCTTTGCCTACAGAAGCTTGACTTTTGACACAGCCATGGCAAAGACAGAACACCTCCCTTCTGAGATTTTGGAAGAGAAAACGGTCATCCCTCCCCCCATACCTCTGAGCACGCAAATAAAATCTGCTCCTGTTTTTCCTTCCTTCAGAGAGCCTACACGGAAGAGGAACTGAACGCCAAGCTGACTCGGCGAGTGCAGAAAGCTGCCCGTAGACAAGCCAAGCAAGAGGAGCTAAAGAGGTTACACAGAGCTCAGGTAGTGTCTTCCAATCTTCATATCATGACAGACAATTAAGTCTATATGAAAGCACTATGATCCTGACTTTCCTCTGAGTGTGTCAGAAGAGGATCCAGAGATGGAACTCTATTTCTACATGATTGTCCCCGCTCCTTACTCCCTCTTTCAAATTTGGTACCATGTCACAGACATGGGGAGAATGGCTGAAACCTAGCATGAGTGTTTTACAGTGAGAAAAATAACTACCATAACACCTTTCTAGCTGGAGATGAGTGAACATCATGCACTGAGTGGAATGGTGATCGTCAGTTAATACCTGATGAAGCTGCACCTGTCATTGCTTTGCTAGCTTATGCTGCTGGGTGAAGTGTTACCAAATTAACTTTTAATTGCCAGAGAATCTGTTGGAAAACTGCTGACATCAGCTATAGGTGATGGGATTTATTTAAAAGTCAAGGCAGGGACTCAGCTGACAAAATAGCATCACCTTCCACTTCAGCATTTAGGAAGGTGGTTGGAGTTGTAACAAACAAGTAACTATCCAGGTGTTTACAAAATTAAGGGATAGAATGCAAGGGGGTGGGGGGGATGTTGTCACTGGAGTGACTGTGATGCTAGCTTTTGAAGCAATTAGCTTTTGAAGCAATTAGCTTTTGAAGCAGTGTATTGTTGAATATGGATACTTGTTTTTGAAAAGGCCTGTTTGACTGAAATCACTTAGTGCTGGGTGAGTGTTGCAGACAGAGCAGGAGAATTCCTTTTGGTGAGATTCTGTTCCATTCTTCTCTGAACAGATCATCCAGCGGCAGCTTGAACAAGTGGAAGAGAAGCAGAGGCAGCTTGAGGAGAGAGGGGTTGCTGTGGAGAAGGCCCTTCGGGGAGAAGCAGGTATCCATCAGAACTTGGTTTGCTTTTTAATGTTTTCTTATCAAGTGCTTGTGCAGTAGTCCATAGCTGCTTGGATTTTAGAGGCATTTGGACCATCATAGCCTAAAGGTAGTCCAATATGAATTCATTCTCCCTTTTCTGCAATCTTTTTGAGGTCTTGGTTTTTCCTGTGTGGCTTCTAATTCTGGGACTTCCCTATCAGCAGAGACTTAGTTCACTTGTCTTTGCCTGAGTCTTAGGAGATAATTTTCCAACTATTAATAATGGCTGACTGTTTCTGCATATTACTGGATATTACAGCTAGAAAATTTCAGGGGTTTCCTAGCTGCAGTTCACATAAAGCTGTCACAGTAGCAGAACCCTGTTCGTATGTTAAGGAAGTAATTGTGACATTGTGTGTGCTTTCTCTACTGTGTTGGATTATCAAGGTAGTGTCCTTACAAGGGACCATCACAGAACATCTTCCTCACTGCACAGCACAGCACACTGGCTACTTCCAACAAAGTTGTGCAGAACAGAAATGCACACATGTACTGAAAGGTATCCATGTCAAGCTGTTAAAGGAATGTTATGTGTGCTTGAAATTAAATTAAATGAGTATCATCTGATCTGGCAAGCATATGAGTGGACGAGTACTTGGTTCAGATAATGCTGATAGTAACATAATGATTTGGAAAAAAGAATCCTCAATTGCAAAGAGTCAGATACCCTAACAGGCAAATGCAGTGTGCATATACCTGACGGGCCCAGGATTATGTATCTGATTACAAGGGTTAGAGCTCAGAAATGGTAATAGTGGAACAGGTGTTCGGAGAATGTTTTGACTTGTTGCTTGGATTGAAGAGCCACTGCTATGCCTATGAAGATGGAACTTGATTAAGCAGTGAAGGTTCACCAGAGGAAAAGTCTGTTGTGGCTTCCCACAAACTACTACTCATCCAGGATTAGGTTTGTTTGATACTCCTTAAGGGTGTGCCAAAGCAGCAGGACTGAGTGGTTACCAAATCAAATGGGTATGACGAGTGTGGAGAACAGTCTTGAGGACCTAAATGGTTTTGTGATCTGACTGGCTTTTTCATTTGTGGGTTCAAAAAAATAGCCTTGTGCAAAAACTGTTTGCAGTGGTGCCTCCTTCCTTATGCTATGTATTTCTGTGTAGTCCCACTCTGGCCTGCCAGTTACTGCACTTACTAAACCCACCTCTTTTATCTCTAATTTGTTCTCTTCCTTTTTCTTCTTTTCATCTGGATGTCTGTCTTGATTACTCAGCTGCTAAATGATTTTCATGTAAGACATGTCAGCACAAGTGGGAAATCTTAGAAGCTGAGAGAACATTCTTCATGATAGAATGCGCTTTCATTGAAGAATGATAGAAATATGCCCAAAAAATTTTCAGATGGCAGAATATGACCTAGAGTAAAAACCACATTTTCATATGGAAAGCTGCAGAATGAAACCCTTGTATAGCTAGCTTCTCAATCCCAGATCTCCCAAAATGGAAGCAGTCTTAGATGAGCTTGTGTATTTGTGAATTTCCTAGCAGAATTACGAAACTGTAGGTCACTCTTTGCAAAAAATTAATCTCTTTTCTTCAAGAAGTCTCTAGGGTATGCTTTGCTCTTGCAACATGTTTCTATCAACAAATCATACATTATGGTTACAGAAGCTTAACTCTTCTATTAAAGAATTCACCAGCCTCACCTCTTCCAGTTATTTCAGGGGATTAGCAGGAAACACATTCTGTTGGGGGAACAAAAAAAAGCATGTTCTAGCCTGTGTTGACTGAAACACAACATTATAAATTAATTCCATGCTTCACCTTTCTAACCAATCTTGCATGGACATTTTACATATGTTTGCAATAAAATAACTGAATTTCTTCCTGATAAAGTCTGCAGCATCACATTCTACGAGTGCAATTAATTTCTGCCTCCAGGAGCAATTAATTACACAGGAGGGCAGTATAATTTTCTTGTCTTTTGGATTGCCTCGAGATACTGACCTAATAGTGACCACTGCATTGAGCAACTACCATTGGGTAGAGGTATGGAGTCATGCTCTTGTCTCTGATCAGTCCTTCCCCTAATGAAACTATGTTAACAAAAATTTAAAAAGGGAAGGGCTGTGTATAAAGTGGTGTTGTCATCTGAAAAAAAAAAAAAAATCTCTTTTAATAAACTTGTACAACAGGAAGAAGTGGGGGAGGGTGGGAGGTGTGCCTCCTGTGCACATACTCTGTCCACCTAAGTAGAGAAGGATTGTAATGCAGGATCAAAGTAATGGCTGTCCCATAGACAGCAACCAGTATTAATTGTTCCAGGAGAACGTATTAGGCTCTGTAATGAGTAGGTTATTCAGCTTTCCTCTCTGTAGGGAAAGAACAAATCACTCATTGACTTAGGCATTTAAATACGAAGTTTTAGGTAATATTAGTAGTAGTTTCCTACTACTAGATACTTGAAAATCCTGACAGGAGAAACAGAATTCTGTATTTTGTAATGATTCTTTTCTTTTTGTATTGTAGAAAAAGATAGAGAAGACCATCTGAACTACTTCTCTATGTCATTTATCATCTTTTAGCGTGTTGTGTGTTAGTCATCTTTCCTGTCGGTGAAGAATTTCAAATTTTGGTTTTGTAAAGGTCTTCCATTAACTTTAATTCCTCAGATTTCCAACCTCTGGACCCCTTTCCATTTTTAGAAAAAAGTACTTTTCACTTGGACTGGTAAGAACAAAAACCAGTACTATAGGTAAGAATTTGTTTACTTAGAATAATTTTGCTTCTATTTTCCATCCATTTTGCATCATTCTTAATACGTTCCTGACAAGTGACTTATACTGAGAAGACTGTCAATAAATTCTTCACAGTGATGCCCTGTTGTCTTCCTGAGGGATTAAAGTTAATTTAGATCCTAGCAATAGGTACAGACAACTCAATATTCTCTCCAGGAATTTCACTCATTTTCTGATAGTTGTCAAGTTGGAATATTTATATGATGATACTACTCAACTAATCAGACTCAGAAACATTTTGGAGGCCATTGTCAACTTCAATTTTGACAAAATAATTGCACCTTCTTGGCTACTGCCTTGTCTTTTCCTTTTTTAAATTGGCTCAGCCTCAGGCAAGGCACAGTTGGTCTTTCAGCCTTATATTTAGTTTCTGATTCAGAAAATGATCTCACATCCTATGATTACTTAATTGCCTTAATATGTTCTCTGTGATTATTTTTGAACATCTAGGCCTTTGGTAGTCACATTCATAGCAAGAATGAATGATTTGGAATGTAAGCTCTATTTCAGGTGACAATGTAAGTTCTGTTTCAGGTGGCAAGTTTGTCATATACAGATGGTCAAAGCTCTTGTCATCCATTTTTTTCCTTCCCTCCCCTCCCTTTTTTTGCATCATGGTATTTCACTGCAAAGGTAAAGGAGGATAATCTCGGTGAAGAATTTTCCTATTTTGACATGTTGTCTCAAGAGACGCCTTGAATGGCTTTGCTATTAATGTAACAGTACTTCATATTATAGTGCATTCACCTGTTTGGACATACTTAGGGCTTTGATTTCTTGTGTGGATTTTTTTATTTTTTCAATTATTAACTGAAAAATGTGTCATCAGAAATTTCTGGAACCCTTTTTTTTCTCCCTTATCCTCCTTTAGCATAAACTTCGATAGTAATTTTTAAGAGCTGGGGAAATGTCTCCTACTGTCAGATCAATACTGAAAAACTGAAGAGCCACCTCCTCACACCAGGTGAATCACAGGCAGTGAGAAATGGTGCTCTCAGTACTCTCATCTGTCTCTTCCCCAAAGAAACCTTATGAGGTGCTGGATTCATGGTCTCTCACAGCTGTGGAGGTACAGGTCTCTGTTCCACACACGTCTGTGCAGGTTCTTCTCTGGCACAGGTACCGCGTTAGCAGGAGCGCACATACCCATCTCCCCATGCTTCGGCATCTGCCACTGGTGTCAGTGCTCAGTATGCCTGTGTGCCGTGCACACGCATCCTCCGCTCACTCATCTCCCAAGGAATCAACACTTGCACCTTCCCTGCAGCTGACCTTAGAAGTGACATTGTTTCCTTCTGACATATTGCTCAGCATGAAAGCAACAAGATTAGTTCTGCTTTTCTCATCAAGAACGGGAAAGACATCAGTGTCAGGTACTGGGGCAGACTGAAATAGGTGAAGTGTCTCTGTGTAGACTTGATTTTTTTCCCCTTGGAAGTCCTTGCCTGCCTGCTGGGAATTTCCTCCTCATCTTCCCAATATATATGTTTGTGATATATTTGTGTGTGTGTACATATATATGTATATATGCAGAGAAAGAGAGACATCGTTTTTTTAATGCATATATACACATATATATGTGCCCACATGTATAGTTGCATGTTTCTTGTTTGCCTTTGTTTTTTTCTGTCTGTCTTTTTCTCATATATTGCTTTGATTGTGTGGGGCTAGGGGGGGTATCTGATTCAATAACTGTCTTCACCAATTCCTTGTTGTAGACTATTGGGGAGAGTCTTATTACAGTGACCTCATCGACTTGCATCTGGGTGGTATGTATGGCTGAAGCTCCCGCTGACACTAACCCTGCTGACACTCCTCCCCACCCCTCCCTTCACCTACTTCTCCCATCCTTGGCTCACAAACAAGAAGAAAAAGCCCCTGCACATGACTGGCTATAGCAGAACCCCTTTTCCAGCTCAGGAAGAAGAGATCCTGGCATGCTCTACAAACCATGCATAAGGCTCCCTTTTCTATTTTCCAAAGTGGTGATTATTTCAAAATTTACTTACTGTTTTCACTCCAACCACCTTCCCTGCTAGCAGGGTTCTGGTTTTTTTGCTTCTCCTTTGCAAAATCCAACTCTACCATCAAAATCCTCTGCAGCAAAGTATTTTAACAGGAAGGGTACAGCAGAACTGAACTGCTCCCGAGAGCTAACAGCACTGTAAAGGATTAGTCATGCCATTGCCTCCCTCTTCCCCTCCTGAGGCTCATTTGCTTCTTCCAAAAAACCAAGAGTGTGTTGATGATCTAATAAAAACAAAATGCTCCCTCAAGAGACTTTGGAAACACTTGTAGATGACAGATACTTCTTCCTTGTTTTGTCTTATTCTAAGATCAGGAGAGAATCTACTGTTGAGAGTTCCAGTCATTTTTGCTGGAATCTGCTGTTAGAGTTTCCAGTCAGCCCAATTTGCATCATTACACAGCTAATAAGCTTCTTGCTATGATTTTTTTTTTAATATACCATTTAGTGCTAAACACGTGTTACGGTGTTTAGCTCTTTTTTTTTCACTTAGCGATTCTGTTCATCTCTCTGCACCATGGTTCTGCATTTCTTTAAGTAATGTTACTTCCTGAGTCCTTTAGTAGGTGGGCAACTTTTGGGTTGCAAATGGCATTTGTTTAGCATTTGCCCATCTTGAAAATTAAAATTCCCCTTGCTAATTTAATCACCCTAAATCTATTCTTATAAAATGAACACATCTGTCAGCAGATCCAATAGAAAGCAAACTGTGCTTGGTTGCCTTGTCATCCAAGGGTCTCAGTTCATTTGTCTTTCAGAGTATAAATTTGCTTGATCTAAGCTGTGTTTTTGTTGAGAGAGTGCATTACAGTCCAGCTCCACAGAGTGAAAGATCCATATGCTCTAGGCCTGATCCAAGACACATCACTAGAAGTCTTCCTCTGATTTCGTTGTGTTCTGCATTTGATCCTTCAAACATAGTTTTGCTCAGGCTTTTCGTTGTAATTTTTTCTCCTCCTCCAGGGAAAGGCTGTCCCACATAATATTTCTCTATAGCTCTCTGTTGGGAGTGACTCCAAATTGTCCTGGCACAATAGGCTTTTACTGAAAAACATCCACCTGAGTTAAGAATATCCACCTAAGTTCAAGTTTCAAAACTGAAGACTTTTCTCCTTACTAGACCTAATTTATCGCCCAGTTCCCCTGTGCTAATTTTGATGTGATAGTCCTCTAGCCCTGTGCTTCATTCGCTGTTCAGTCCTTCTGGCATTCTTTCCTGAGGTGTATTCTGCAGAGAGACCTTGAAACCTTCTTCCTAGTCAGGTCCATCAGGGCTGGCCCATACTTGTACGTGCATAGAGTAGGAGCTGTAAAAGGGTTGATGCTGAATTACGCTTAACAGACCCTTATCCCTGTTTAATGCTATTTTCACTATACCTCTCCCTCCTCCTGCTTCTCCTCCTAACGCCTCTTTAGAGACAGCGATCCCATCAAAATCACTAATAGTGGCTTTAAGAAAAGCAAAATAATCTTTACTTAAAGGGACACTGTCACTTAAAAAATTACTATGTTGCAGAAAATCAAAAATTTAATTTACTGTTTATCTTTTATGCTTGTTTACTTTTTCCATTTCTCTGAACTCAGTCACCCCAGAGTGGTCATTTTTGATCTTCTACAATAGGCTGGTTTTATTTATATGGTGACTCAGTCACTTGGGCTTCCAACAGTCAATGTTCATGTTTTTTAAAAATGGTTGATATATTTTAAAACTATGATCAAGTTTCTGCTCATCTCAAAAATACCTTTGCCAAAACAAACTTTAAAAAAAATGTATTGGGCAGTATCCCTTTAAATGCAATGAACCAGTATAGCCTGCCTAGAGTATGTGACTTTATAGTATTGTTTTGTGGCCTCTGTAATTTGCTTTATTCTTGCTTTTGGGGCTGCCAGAACACTTTGCCAGAAGGGATACGTTGCTCTGATGGACTTGTCACTGTTCAGTGGCAGATTTAGAGCTCAGCTTCAAAATTAACATGTCTGTTCAGGATGCTGCATCTGGGTGGAGTGCCATTAAAATTCCTGGAGTGCCATGGGGCTGCATGGTCCTGCTGAGTGCTATAAGCAGCTAGGACAGGACGGCTGTGTAATTAATTATTCTGTTGGCAACTTGTGTCTCTGAGACATAGGCATGATTCTAGAGTCATGCTGTCAGTAGAACAATAAGCAAAATTGCAAAATACTTTGAAAAGTTATCTGTAAGTTGGTGGTAATTTTTGAATGGTTAGGGCATTCATATATTCTGGATTTTCTTTACAGTAAGGAGAGTTGCATTTCATTTAGATGTTACAGATTGCGCAACAACTTCTGCAAGGGAGTGGTAACTTCTGACATCCTTGGTCAAGTTCCAGTTTGCAGGATTACAGATTGCTATTTTAACTACCCCCGTTGCTCTGCTCAGATGCTATAATCCTTTCTTCCTGTTCTAAAATGTTATGTACTGTTGCTGTAAAGCAGATGTTTCATTTCACGCTACAGATGGTCACATTTCAATTCTGAGTAATTATTCCTATGTGTATATCGTATATGCAGTTATGTTAAAAGAACATTACAAAGGTTGCAAAGACAACTGAAATTAAGATTTTGTATTACATTGATATATCAACAGATTTATAACCTTTAGATCCACTGCAGAGAACTCTGCCCCGTGCCATTATGGAATAACTGGTGGCAATGCTAGGTTGTCATCCTCTGTGTAGATCCTCATGAAGAGGAAACGGGACATGCTCAGTGGATTTCACAGATGTTTGCTGGCAGCTGTGGAGTGGCGAAACTTGAAAACACAGATTCTGAGCCAGATGCTGGAAGGATATAGTGCTCTGGTGGATGCACGTTCTTTGTCCCTTTTATTCCCTCTTTCCAGACAGTCATTGTCCTAGTCCTGTCTTTTTCCATCCAAAGTTCCTTACCCCACTTCTATTTTCATTCTCAGTCCCAGTTTCTGCTTTTCAGGCATTTAATTTTAATCCTACCTTCTTGACAAAGAAATCCTAATGTTCTACCCTTCAGACCGCATGTTCCTCCCCACTAGCTGTTCTTATTCTTTCACTCCTGTTCCAGTCTTCCCACTGACTCTGTTCCCAGAGTCTCAGTCCCTGCCTCTGGCATTATCCCAGTATTTTTGGGCTCTGCTCCCTCTTCTACCCAGCATTAGTCGTCTGGAAAATTGTAGATCATATCTTCTCCACAAATCTGCCTTCTCCTTTCACCCCTTACCCCTTTCCCCTCTCCTCTCTGTCTCTTCTCCTTCAGCAGTTTGCATTCTTAGTCTCCTGGCTTAATTACTCCCAGCCTCAGTTCCCCCTTAACCACTGGTTCCTTGTCCAGGTTGCTCCTTGTCTGCCTGTGGAAAGTACCTCTGTTGTTCCCTCTGTGTTCACATGAGCAGCTTCCTTTTCCTTGTGCCCAGCAGGGAATCACTGAGAAAAGTGCCCCACACTCGCATCTTGCTTTGCTCTTGGCTGGAGTATGCCAAGACAGGCAAGAAGGATGTAAGGAAGAGGGCTGGTATGTCTGATAGTGCTGATTTGAGACATACGTTCTCTCTTCTTGACAAGGGCCTTGTGAACATCAGGTAAACGAGGGGAAAAAAAAGTACGATTGTACTTTTTTAAAATTCCTTGTACTTGCATACTCTACAACAGCTTCACTTTTTATTAGCTTATTTAAAATACTTGGGCTAACTATGTCCTTTAAAGTCCTGCAGATCTAACTCTGCAGGGCTGGAGTCTGATATACTGAAGTGGGAACAGTCATATTTCTTGTGATTTGCAAACAGCTCTATGGGAAGAGGAGTGGAGTTGTAAGATAAACATTGTTTTCGCAGTTTGCAGCTGCTTTTGACACTGAAGTGAATTCGTAACATGTTTTCTTTGCTGTAAATTTGGAGCTGGAAAGAGCACTTGATAAGCAGAACTGTTAAGTATAATTAGAGTACCTGTTTAGGTGCTGGAAGCAAGGAATTACCATTTACTTACTTCCTTTTGTACACCTTTCACAATTGCACACAAAATGCAGGACTGTACTACTTCTGACTTCATTTTCAAGTGCTGTGAAGTCTAGTAGAAGCAGAAGACTTCTGTGCAGTCATTTGTGTGTGTTCTGCTCCAATTATTGCTTTCCCTATTTTCCTTTCCCCTCCCTGCCTTCCCCCCCATACCCCTGCTTCCCCCCCCACCTTAAATAAAGGTGTGGTCCTGTTTGCATGACAATTCAGTGGTCTATGTGTTTTCCCCAGGTTTCTTCTAGTGATTGTACTTTAGAGGATACTGGCTTTGCCACAGTTTTAGTGAACTGTTAAGTCAGACACACTGAGTGATGTCCCTATGAGAAAGTTGTCAGAATCGTTGCCCTCAACTTTATAATACCTGCAGTTGTGTGGATGCTATTCTACAAGAGGTGACTTTCTGTATTCTTCTTGTTTTACAACACCGCTGTTGAACAATTGCAACAAATTGTAAAGTTGGGCTGCTTTATTTTTCAGCACTCGGGTTTCTGACCATAACTGTTTTTTAAAAGGTGGGAAAGAGGATATTTTCTGTCACCAGTGCACAGTTTGTCTTACTGAACTCTTTTGGACTGATCCTTATTTTAAGCACGGAGTTAAAATTAGAGTTCTTAGTCTGCCTGCTAAGTGGATGATGGAAGTTGTTAGTAGAATAGGAATTTCTAAAGTATCATGCTCTCAGCTTGTGCGATCAAGTGCCAGCATAATGGTGCATGAGAGCTGAGATTAGCTTCAGAGCTGAATTTCCAGCCCAGTGTTACTGATTTCAAAACTGTCCTGGTTAGTCAGCAATACAGAAATCAAAGTTTTTAGATGCAAAACTTGCAAAGGATGTGATCCCATTTGGTCTGTGGTATATCTGTTCAAGTCGTTTTGGTTTGCAGTGGCTCACCACTTCCCAGAAATCATCACAGTTCTCACCACAGGACATGGGCAAATGGTGAAGGGGATCAATGTGAGCTGTAGTTTGGGGATAATTGCATCTGCCACCCCAAACTTTCTGCTGTGCTTTCTTCATCCTGATCGATCATTTTTACTACTGTGCTTCAGACAATGAAGTGTTAGGTAGCTACAGCAGAAAAGGACAAAACCAGTCTGAAGTATGTAGGTAAATGAAGAGTAGAAAAGAAGACAACAGTCCAGTGTAGCTTGTGTAACAAAGAACAACATACAGTGAAAAGGAAGGTATATTTTCATGGTGGCTATACAATTTCTGTTCCTTGTTTTGAAGAGGCTTTGGAGCTATGGTGTTTATTCTTGGCCTCGCTCTTGGTTTCCACCACGGTAGCAAAGTCTGCAATCTCTCAAGAGTACTATGGCAAACAAGATCTTTCTTGTCATGGCTGCATGAAAGATTTCCCAGAAACATCTGGGAAAGGCTTCTTTCCACAGAGGCAAGATAATTCCAGTCACTTTATTGATGGGACGTAGATAATCTGCAAGGCAGAGCTTCTACCTCTCCAAGATGTTCAGTGTGCTCAGGAGCTGGGGCACCTCAGTGGGCTGCAGCTCCTGGCTCCGTACCGACCACCCCATGTGTTCTTCTGAATGCCTCTGCTCGCCGGCAGCTTGGGCCTCTGACCTCTGCTTTGAAGGCTTCACTTGCATTTAGAAAAATTGGTCCGTGGCACTGAGAAAGAACAACTTGTGGTTAACACAGTCTGTTGGTGGGTTTGCCTCCCTGGGGAGAAAAAAAAAGTGTTAATTTTCTGTCCAGAAGCTACAGTCACACCTCATCATAGAGGGAATCCAAGAAGTGAATGGTCACAGAAATGGTTCTTCTCTTGCCCTTCAGCTCCTTCCAAACGAACTGCTTCAGTGGGGCAGTGGGTAGCTTGCAATGCTGCTGCCAGCAGCGCTCTTCATGCAGTGGGTGAAGACCTGTATCGCCAAACCCAGCCTAGGTTTTTTGGTGGTGGAGGAGACTTAAACAGAAAGGGGGACTGTTTATTTTTTTAAATTTGTTTGACGAAAGAGTTTTTCTCATCCGGCCCTGACTCCATGGCCAGGAAAATTGTCTTGCAGTGGTGATCGTGTTTTTAATTTAATGAGACCATAAGATGGTAATTTCTCTTCTCTAAACAGTAATATCAAAATAATAGTATTTACTGTAGAAGTAGAAATGGCCTTGGGAAGAAATAAGAAGATATATAAGGATTTCCATAATGTAATCAGACAATTGATAAGGACAAGGTAGGTGAGACAGTTTTTAACACCATATTGTGAACCAGGGTGTTGTATAGTTCTCCATTTTGATAGCACTTGACAAGGAGTTCAGCCTTTTCCCAGGATTGTCTTTCAACATACATATACACATTGAGAGCTCTTGCTGTGAAGTTGTATTTTTTTAAAATCAACCTTGACAGGAATGTAAATGATCTGATGATACATTCGCTGTCTAAAATTATCAGCTGGCTGAGGGAATGCTTTTTCCATTTATCAAGTGATCTTTTTTTCCAGGTTCTCTGTTTCTGAAACGGTTAAGAGGCCTTTTCTTGAATTAATTCATCTGAAGGGATAGTGAAATACGTGACAAGGAATACACTTAAAGATTGGTTACTGTCAGTGAAAAATCTTCCTCCATTACAGGAAATACGATAAAATAGTTTTTCTCTTAAAAACAAAAAGTTCCTATTTCAGTCTGCTTAGAGTCTGTATCAGATGTGCTGATACTCTATTAGCAAGGATGGGGAGGCAGTTTTCATGACTATCACCTTAGAGAAGTTTTTAAAAATATATTTTAAATTCTATGTTAACATTTGCAGTAGCTGGGCTATTACAGATGGCACGGACTTTCAAACTTGCTTCAAGGACTAATTTTCCTTAGACAAGAGTGGGAGGATAGTATTTCTGTTAAAAAATAAGACAACTAAGAGCAAAGGAAGAAGATACAATTGCAAGGAGTGAGCTCTGTATTACAGTCTTCTGCTGTGTAAGTCTTGTGGCTTTTTACTGGAGATCAAAGATGGTATCTTCTCCTAGTATCAGACAATTTGCTCACTCATGACAGCAGTTAGTAATTTGTAGCCATGTCACAATGAGATGAATGGCATTTTCACATACCAGTATTTATTTTCAGATCAAATATGGCAAATTGGGAGCTCCTCGCTAAGTTTATATGCCCATGGTTTGAAATCTATACATATGGGTGCATTTGAGTTATCAACATCCCCCCCTCCCACACCCTGTCCCAGAATTCTGAATGAAATCTCAAACCCTGAAAAATTTGAGTGGATTTTTACATACAGTTAAATGTCCATCTCCTGACCCTGCCAAAATAGTGGTTAGACCAAGTTAGAGTATTAAAGCTTATATAGAAGAATTCATGCTGAATAAGATAGGATGTGAAATAAAAAAAATGGAATAGGTTATCGTGCACTAAATATTCTGCTTTGTGTGGGAGCTCATTCTTCAGGTGCCTTTGTGGTTTGGGTGTTTCTTGTTTGCTTTTGCTTTTGTAACCTGATCTGTGAAATGGCCATCATAGGAAAAAAAGCCCTAGTATTTTTTCATTTTAAACGAAGAAGATGGAAAAATCTGAACAATTAGAATTAAGGTTCTGCTACTGTCAACTAATGGTTGGTACGGTGCTTTATTTGTAACTGTCATATGGCCAACTGTGCCATCTATCCTCATGTTGCCCCTTCCTGCTTCCAGTACAGAGGTTTTTTCTGTCTGAGAAGGCTGCGCTGCTCAGTCACAGGCTTTGAAGCCAACGTGCTCTCCCTCTCGCTCCAGTGTGTCCTCCGTGTGCTGGTCTGGTTCTGTGATGGTCCCTTCTAAAGCCTTCCCAGTTCACTGGCAGTCTAGTTCTGTAAAGCTTTCTCCAAACCACATATATCAAACTCTGCTGACTTTTCCAAAATAAACGTTATTCTTACCATAGTATTGTTGTGGAGTTTATGCCTTTTCCCAACACAGAAATGCCTCCTCTTTATAAACGCAGTTCTGCACTGAGAGCAATAAGTGTTCCATTCTGCTGGCTCTGATGGTTCAGGCTCATCACCTTCCTGGTGCAGATGTTGTCCTGTAACTATTAGTGATGTTGGTTATTTCCTACTGTTTATTGCTGTAACGTTAAATACAGGTGAAAAGCAAATTCTCAGTGTTAAAACAGCTGAACCATTTTAGAGATGAGAAATGTTTGTCCTTCACTGGGTAACAGAAACGATGAAAAAAATTCAGTAAGTCACCAGTACTAACAGGACTTGTAAGCTTTAGAATGCTTTCTGAAATGAGAATGTCAAGGGAGAGCTTTAAATTTACCATTTTAACTCTGCAAAGCCCTCAGTTGGTCATTACCACCACAGACCCTGATGTGAATCACTTTTTTACCCGTGTAAAAGCCTTTTCCCCTCTTAAGCACAACAATCCATTTCGGTACATGTGTTCTCACCGTACTTGATACAGCAGATCCTGGCAGGCTGGTTCCACATTAATCAGATTCTCCCTGTGATGTCCCCTGTCTGAAGAAATTTTCCAGTAAAAAAGGACACTTTTACCATCAGTGGATGCTGCCACGGTGGTAAGAGCATGGTCCTGATAAAGCTTTAAGGTAGGGTGGCTGCTTACAGCTGGTGTCATGCATGCAGGTGAGACGTTTTGTAACCCTGCTTGAAATTTGACATCTATCAGCAGGAGTTAAATATTCATCTTTGCTCGTCCTAACAACTTGTTCACAAAGACCACGTGATTGAAAAATGTACATTAGGAAAAAGTACAGCAACGATAACCTCCTGCCTGGTATTTGTACAACTCAGTAAAAGTTCACCAGTACCTCAGTCTACCTCTTATCTGTTATCTGTGCTTATTAGGGACATTATTCATCTGTAGACTGTATCCCTTGTTTCTGCTTCTCCATTTCTTGTATTTTTTCCTTTCTTTTCTTCTTGTGTTTCCTTTCTTTCTCACTCTTACGCTTTTTGTCCTTTGCTTGTCTTTTATTTCACCCCTTTCCTCCTCTTCCGTTCCACTTCCAACTTCCTCTTCCTCTCCTGCCTCTTCCTCTTCCTCGTTTGGCCCTATTGAAGTTGAGCCCAATGCCGGGACACCACGTCGTAGACCTCTCTCCTTCTGCCCTTGCTGTGCCCATGAAGGTAACGTAACCTCACACGCTCCCCGTTCTCCTTGACCACAGCTGGGTTGTCGTAGCAGCACTAGTCAGCTAGTGACCACAAGGCCCCCAGCCCTTTTCTTGCTCTGTCCCCAAACCGACTTTCTCAGTAGCAACCTGGTAGCCAGCTTCTCTGAGCCTGGGGCAAGTTATTAAAGGTACAGTATGCCTTTTGCTGGTCCCAGCTGTGCCAGGGAAGGTGTAACAACCGGGAGGGACATTGGGCATCAGCGGTGGGAGCAGTAACGTTACACACAAAAGTTTCTGTTTTCATTCGATGGCTTCAATTTCTCTATTCCTCCTGAAAGATGTGTGGAAGGTGGGGTAAGGGAAGACAATCTGCTTCCTTAAATATGGCCGCCTAATTAGTACGTATGGATTAAAGGAATACTGTGTCTTTATAAGGACTGGTTTGCAAAACATCCTTGAACTTTAAAACCTGACAAACCTTAAGCTAGGTCAGTTTTCCCTCATCTGTCTTGCTGAGTGCATTCTTTAACTGTCCCAAATGAAGTTTGCTCTAGAGTTTCCATTGCCAAGGCATGGGGGAAGGGGTTGTTTATGTGTGCTCATGGTGTAATTTTGCTAACCACTTACTCTGCTTTCCATGGCGCTCCCTCACATCAGTTGTCAGTGCTCCCTCTCCAGTCCTCTCATTATTCCTCTGCTCGTTGGCTGTTTAAAAATACTTCTGTATTTCATAGGTCAGTATCGTTGTGGTTTTGGCTTTTTCTTAGAGGCATTTGTTTTCTATACATCCTGGCATCGAAAGGGATGGGGAGACTTCCCAGTGTTTTCATGGCGCCTCAGCACTGGACATCTGCATGTACAGTCTCCCTCTCCTGTCGCCACGCGGGCATATTGTGCAGAGATGCTCAGAAAGGAATGCTTGGAACTGAGCCACACACTGGTATAAAGTCCACAGAGCCAGAGGCTCTTAGGGTGGCACGACGGGGTCTGGTGTTCCCCAAGGGTCTGCTATTACAATTTTTCAAAGGCAGGCTTTCTCAGCCTAAACTGCAGCTTAATAGGAGCTGTAGGCTCTCCTTTGCTTAGCTCCAGTGCAGCACTTCTCTGAGGTCCTAAGGATGGAGGCAGGGCATAGGTCTGAATTAGCTAGCGGTTCATGTGGGATTGGTGAAGTGTTTCCCAGAGTTTGAATAGTTAGCTTGCTGATTGATTATTTTTAGCATCAAAATGACTGTTGGGGAGTTTTTGCTCTTGACGTAGATAGTATGTGTCCATAATAACAGACATAGACAGGGATGTTAGTTACTTTAGGATGCTTAGGTTAGATGCAGTGCAAGCTGATAGGATGCAGCAATCTAAAAAGACTGTTGAGCTTGATGTTGAGGCCTTGTTCCTGCCTCCACTGCCATGCAGTCAGGCACATTGCTACTGTCCTTGATGATGTCTGATATAAGTGACAGCATTCATCTGCAGGTAGTTCAGTGTGGGGTCAGTGGCTCAGACCAGGAGATTGCTAGGAGGAGCTTCCCTGGTAAGCTCTTGCATTTGATAAATATCAACTGAAGGCCCTGGGAACAGCCCAGTTTCACAATTTAATCCACATGATTCCTGACAGATAAGAGATTTGTCAGTGGACTATCGAGTAAGTTTAGGAGTTGGTTTTAAAATAAATTAAATACCAACTAAGAGTTCTGTATGAGGTGGCCAAGGCCCAAGGTATTTTTATTCTGCTTTGGTATTAGCAGATGTGTCTGGGGATTCTTTTTCTTTCCAGCACTGATGTGCAATGCAGAAGTAGTTTCTGGGTTCACTGTGCAGAGGATGGATAGATACATGTGATGGATAGATATATGTGGCTAGAGAAGCAGTCAGAAAGTACTCTTTTAGCTATTGAAAAAAGAAAAGACAAGATGTAACTTTTGGCCAGTAGAAGATTGAGGACATGCAATTGAAGAAAAGGTAAAAGTTAAAGGTAAACCCCATGGAGTGGCAATTGAATATGTTTCTGATGAGCATACATTGAGGTAGCTGGCATGAGGAATTATAAAGCTCTTCTTATTAAAGGAAAAGTGAAATACTTAGAGAAATCTGGGATTTCTGTATTAAGAGTGAGGAAGAAACAAGCAATCACAAGAAAATCAGAAAGGAAAAAAAAAAAGATCAGACTCCAAAGAGAATCCTTTTGGAGGTGATTTCCACTCTTCTGTGTGTTCTAGGCAAACTGAATGGACCCGGCTTGGGAGTGCTCTGGCAGCATCTTGCTCGGCTTTCTTTGCACATTTTGCCCCATTGTTGTTTTTGCAGTTTGGGCTTGTAAGGATTGCAGGGCATTACCCAAAAATTTACCAGGTTTCTTTTTTGGCAGGCATGGGTAAGAAGGATGATCCCAAGCTGATGCAGGAGTGGTTCAAGCTGGTACAGGAGAAGAATGCCTTGGTTCGCTACGAGTCCGAACTGATGATATTGTGAGTTAATGTGCAAAGCTTCAAAAGGGGGATTATGTTACAAATAGTATTGGAAGATTTGTCAGTACTGTCTTCCCTATAATCCCGGGAGGTCAGCGGTCTCTTAGTCTGATTCTTGGCTGAGATATGTAGCCAGGTACATTTCAAAAGAGTGGTAGAAGAAGGAATAGCAATAAGGAATGAAAGTTCCAACTATTTTGTGCACATGCAGAAGTACGGATGGCGTGTAAAGCTCTAAGCCCTTCCCAAGCTGTTCTTGGATAAAACATGTCTTGTTCACAGAGGTGTTCTCGAGCTATGCAGAAATAACGTGTGATTCCTGGTTTTGGTGGAGTCCACTTGTCATGGTTTGAGCTCAGAGGATAACTCAGCACCACACAGCCATTCACGCCTCCCTTCCCCCCCCAGGCGCTGAGAAGGAGAAAACAAACCAGGCGTGGGATTTGAGATAGGACAGGGAGGGGCAAATCACCCAGTGTGATCACAGTCAAAAGGCATACTCATTAGGGGAATAAAAAAAGAACACAGATTTATTACAGACATTAACAACAACACATAACAGAGTAGGACAGTGAGAAGCATTGCCACATCTTGAGAACACCTTCCCCCCCACCCCTCCCTTCTTCCCGGGCTCAGCTCTGCTCCCGATATCTCTACCTCCTCCCCATATCAGCACAGGGGCAGGGAATGGGGGGGGTGCATTCAGTGCTGCTGCTTCTTCCACCTTCAGTGGGGGGAGCTTCTGGAACTCGTTCCCCCTGCTCCATCATGGTCCCCCTCTCACAGGAGACTCCTCCACAAACTTTCTCTGACGTGAGTCCCTCCCACGAGCTGCAGCATTTCCCCACACTCCTCCGGCGTGGGTCACCAACTTTCTCCAACTGGAGTCCCTCCCATGGCTGCAGCCCTTCCCGAGCTGCTCCGGCGTGGGACACCCCCGCATGCTGCAATCCTCCCAGTGCTGAACTGCAACAGCGGGGGCTACTTTTTCCCATGAGACCCCGGCCTTCTTCAGGCACAGTCACCTTGGTCGTCCATGAGAGGCCCCTCACAGGCCATAAATCAGCATCTGCTCCACTGTAGACCTTCATGGGTGGCAGGGGGGGCCGCCCTGCCGTCTCACCACAGGATACAGGGGGGTCTCTGCTCCGGCATACCTCCCCCCTCCTTTCTCCCTCCATTCCTCCACTGACCTTGGTGTTCACACAGCTGCCGCAACTCCTCCTCACAAGTCCCTTCCTAAATACATTCTCGCAGAGGCGCAGCTGATTGGCTCAGCCTTGGTGCAGAGGTGGAGCTGATTTGGAGCTGCGGGAACTTTGAGAAGCTTCTCACAAGGGGCCACTCCTGTAGTCCCCTCCCCTGCTACCAAAAAACCCCCACCACTCATTCAAACCCAGGACACCACTTTTAAGTATAGCCAAAAGTGTTTAATTCAGTCACCTTTGCCATGCGGCCCTCTCTGCCTGCAGTGGGACCTCAGTGCCTCTCATTTGGGCTGTGATAACAAGGCTTTTTTCCTGTTTAAGACACTGGGAGCTTTCTCAGTCCCCATGCTCCAAATTCACTGAAGTTCGTTTCTGAATATGTCAGCTGACCCAGGCAGTGTGAAAGCTGATGGCCTTAGTGCCTGTATCAGAAAAGCCCCAAGGTATTGTCTCCATTGGAATCTGAAAAGGCAATGGCCTGACATGTCCTTAGTTGATAAGCGACTTCATCTTTAGAGCGGGAAGTGGCAGGAGATACATCGAGATAAAGTATAGTTTTGCAGTGATTGCAGATTTGTCTGCTCCTTCACACTGTTTTAGATTTAATCCCACCCATAATCTGCTCAACTTTCTGTATTGTACTTCCTAGCTGAAGGTAAAGAATCTGAGATGTTGAAAGTACATTTAAATATTTTAAAAATATGGTTATATGTCTTAAGTGTTTTAACAGTTGTTCCAAAACAGATTGGTAAAATGCATAGCAGATATCTAGAGGGGGAGCAGAAATCGAGAATGGATATGCAGCAATGTATGGAGTATTTTAGAATACTCACAGCTTGGATTCCTGATGTTTCCCTTTCAGCGCTCGGGAGCTGGAACTGGAAGACAGACAGAGTCGATTACAGCAGGAACTCCGGGAGAGGATGGCAGTAGAAGGTAAGAGCAAAGGCGAACGTTTCATAGATTGTAGGTGCTTATTTCTCTAGCCTTGTGTATGCTGATATTTTTTGTGTCTCTGTAGATCACCTGAAGACAGATGAGGAGCTCTCAGAGGAGAAGAGAATCCTGAACGAGATGCTAGAAGTAGTGGAGCAGAGAGATTCTCTTGTGGCTCTCCTTGAGGAGCAACGGCTTCGAGAAAAAGAAGAAGACAAGGACCTGGAAGCAGTCATGCTTTCCAAAGGTTTTAGCTTGAACTGGTCCTGAGCTTAACACATTTACCTCTGCTGGTCTGTGTTGTCCAGTTGGCCTACCCTGAGTTCGCCAGAATTACATGGATAGGAAGATGTTGAAGGGGAAACTTCAGAAGGGTCCAACAGCATGCAGGGATTTGGTTTGAAGCACTCAGAAGCCTTTTGATAATATGTTGGTTCCAGAAGCTTAAGTTTTACATGTCTGCAAGCCAAGTTGAAGATAATGAGTTGAGACTGTGGAGTCTCCTTGAGGTCCTATAAAATGGACCGTATTTTTGTGTGTGTGGTAGGAGGGAGAGGAATAATCCATGTGTGGGGAAGGAAGTTAAGGGAGGAAGTACCCTTAACTGAACTGGATTTATGGCAGTCCATTCCTTTCCCGTTTTTACTACACCATTTCTAATAAAAGGGAGGGAAGTGGGAACCCTCTCTGGAAAACCACAGCAGCCTGTAGCAGCCTGTGTGGTGGAGTCGGCTGTCCGAGAGACCTCCAGAAGCCCAGGGCAACACCTTCTTTGCTTTAGTCTTCCTCCCCACCAAAGAAACCTGCAGTTGATCATTATGCATGGATATTAAGAAAAATGAGACAGAGAAGATACTACTAGTAGGTGTGATGGAACTCTCTGCCTCCTGGTTTTTAGAGAGATTCGGGCATCAGAGGACTCTCCCTATCATGGCCTCCTAAACCATCATCTTGTTGTGGGGAAAAAAGGGGAGAAGAAGAGAGAGGGAAGATGCCCTTCTGCTTTGCTACACACTGGAGAGACAGCTACTGCTGGCCTTAGTCTTCATGGCCACAGCTCAGAGGCTGGTGGGCTTCTTTGTTCTGTTTTTGTTGTGACTGTTTTGACACTGGAAAATACTGACTGTGGGACAGTGGTAAGTGTGTGCTGGGGCAGGGGTGTTACCAGGCAACATTCCCTGGATGTTAGGCCCCTAAAAGGAAGAAGCCCTTAAGTGACCGAACCACCGTTAAAACTTTTCAGTGTTTTTATTTTTTTCCTCTGTATTTTGTTTTTGCACATTGGAAACGAAGCTTAAGACCTGCCTGGGCCCTCAGTCACTTTGACCCTTTTATGTCAATTAACTTATTTTTTTAATACTTGAAAGAAGATTCATTTTTGTATCTTTTAGGGAAAAAAATGGATGAATGATGGGTGTGTGTGCCTGCTGCATCCTACAACTTCCACTTCTAAATTACTGGACGTTGTTACCTGTGGCTATTTATTAGTGTTCTTATTAATAATTTGATTGTTACACATACTGATTGTGGAGGGAGTGTTTTAACTCTTGTTAGAGAAGGACACTGCTGAGGATTGGTCCCTGCTTCACAGCAAGGGCAGCCTTTATGTACCTACTAACGCATCCTGCCCTAGGAGTTTTTCTTTATGACAAAATCCTGCGTGCTTATGGAGTTATAAGAACCTATTTGTATTCCTAGCATACTTTTCTTCTGCATCCCAGATTCCCTCTGTTGGACTAATAAACCAATAATTTATTTAAATTTTACATTTTTATAACAAGAAAGCCAAAACTGTAAGGTAGAAATATCCCATATGTCTCTTTCTCACTGAAAGAGGCCTCACACTCCTGAAGATACAGCTAAAGGGACTTCCATGAAAACAAAAATAGCACATTGCCTACTGCATCTGTTGGAAGAAGCTCCTTTTGGCTCAGCTAGTGAAGCTGCTGCTTTTCAGCCAGGAGGATACTCACTGTATCCGTGCATTAACCAGTGAGCAGGACGTGCACTGAGCAATGCAGCACCATTCACTGTTTGACAGGTTCCCTGAGCACACCGTGTCCTTAACTTGTCCCGCAGAGCTGAAGCAGCACTGGGTACGCGCCCCATTCTTAATGTGATGTGCTAAGAGGTTTTCCCCCCTTGGGATGCTGACCATGTTCTTCTCTTGTTGAAGAAGTACTAAGCCTGCTCTGTGATGTCTTTGAGAAAGTCTCCCATTCCCGAGCGTATTCATACAGCGTACTGACTCTCTCACCTTGAATTTACACTGTTGGTGCAAGGCATCCAAGCGGGGCTGAACATCCTTTAATCTTTTGCCCCTGGACAGAAGTTAGCATGGTTTCTTGCTGTTGGCTCTCTACCTCCTTCAAAGAGGTCTTCTGTAAGCTAGGGTCTACGATTTGAATTCACCTCTGAGTCAGGAGCATACCTCAGGCTGAGGAAGGATGGGTAGGACTGTCCCCAGAGACTCTGAGTGGTGCTGGTTTTTAACTGTGGAAACAGGTTTCTTCTGCCTCAAGTGTTTCCCCTTTGTCCCCCCTAGTGTTTTCTGCTAAGGCATTACAAATTAAATCCAGATGCTCGTGAAACCAAGCAGACAGGCAGCTGCAGTGCTACTTCATAATTGTGCTTGTTAGCAAGTGGTACCTGCTACACCAGCATTGCGGAGTGTTGGCTTACCAACAGGATGTCCAGCAACACAATTCCCCCCATTTGCCAGTGCAGGGGCAGCTGCACAAGTTAACTGGCAACGGTAGTTTCCATAGTCTGTGTTTGAGGCGCCAGTGGAAGCTGGAGAGGAGGAGGGAAGAGAGAGGGAGAGAGAAGCTAGATACATAGTGTATTGTAAACTGTCTCGCAGGGAGAATTGGCCTCGGTCCATTTTGTAATGCACCATGTATATGGACCACATCTAACTTTTCACAAAAGATCATTGCATGTGACCTGTAGAACAGAAAGAAGAAGAAATACCAGATTACTACTTTTTCCCTTTCATGCTGCTGGCCAGATCTTTGCAATGCCAAAGAGTGATTTCACTTGAGCGTGCAGGAGAGAACTGCATATTCTAAACTTGAACTCTTTAGGTTATGCTGAAGGCCTTCAGCAGTGGGAATGAAAATGAAGAGCTAACATTGCACACACAAATTAATTAAAAATACACGAAAGGGAATGTTAAAAAGCCTTTTTATATCAAAATGGTTGTAAAAGGCACAACTTGTAATTTCCTGTTCAGTTGCACTTTAAGAATATGACTTGCATATCAGATACTGGGTTTTTTTACTATCTGACTATTTTTAATTCAAATTTTGTATTTTTAAAGCTGAAGAAGGCTCTTGTGACCACAAGATCCCTTATTTGTATCAGAAACCAAGTTCTAGCTCTTCGTGGGACTCAGCCGCCTGCATTCAGTGACGTGTGTCCATTTTGTGTGTGAGGGGAGCGAAAAGGCCCTCGGCTGCTGAGGAGTGGGCACGCAGGGGCACCCGTCCCCAGGTGACACGGTCCGTGCCGGGGGGCTGGCCGCTTCCTCCCTGCAGCAGGTAGGAGGAGAGCCAAGCTTGGAACCCAACCTGTGTTGGGTTTGAAATGGGCACACTGAGGATGGGGCAAGGAGGGGGAGACCACCTCCTGGAAACACCCGGGAGGCAAATGGGGATGTGGGAGTGAGGACTGTCAAAACTACTAATCTACTGTTTTCACAGTACAGTTTTCCTTTTTTTAAACCGTTCTGTTCTTTTAACCATGTTTTCATTAAAACTCACAAATGACTGTAAAATCCTGAGCTTCAAAGAACTAACGCGTGGGGAGGTGACAAGACCTTTCAGCTCCAACTTCCAGATATATTCCTTCTTTCAGTTAACCAATACCCCATGGTCTCACTAGGGCATGTTACAAACAGCGTTGCTGAACGTAATTTAGAGCAAACCTCAAGTTTTAAGAGTCTGTCCTTCCCTCTCTCCGTCTCTGCATTTTATGTAAATATTTGTTTGTATGTAAAGACACCAGTAGATCCTTGGGTTACCCCCACGGTCAAGAATCTGAGTTTTGTGCAATGCCTAGGCCTCTTAGAACACGGTGCTTGCATAGAGCTAGTCACCACATTTGTGTGCACTCTGGTGGTTTTTAATATTTTTATACATCCTAATACTGAACATTATGAAGTATTGTAAGTGGTCTAGACTGCATGATCTAGAGCAGCCAGCAGTTCCATTTTCTTAGCAGCTGTTCCTAAAATGTTCACAGCTACACCTTGTTTGCTTAACATTCTTCTAAAATAAGTTTTCAGTTAAGTGTTTACACCAGACACCAGTGGATGAGAAAGGTGTTGCATTATAAAATCTCCTGTTTGTATACAAACTGAAAAGCCACAATATGGCTTTATGGGAATTTCAGTCACCACTGTCTGCAATAAAGAGAACTCTAAAGTATACTAAAAACCAGCCTGTATATAGTTCACAGAGAAAGAGACCGCTGGCTCTCGACTATTGCAAAATAACAGAGATTTAGAAGCTTTCCAAAAGTTCCTGCTTTTGGATTGCTCAGAGTACTGCTATAGGCAGGGTAGCTGGGCAGATGAGGATGTCACTAAAAGCAGATGTGAGGGGGAAGATGCCATGTTCTGATGGCATTGCAGCAATGTAAATACTCTGTATCTGTGCGTGCATGCGTGTGTGTGTGAAGTCTAATCCAGGAGAAGGGATCTGCTTTGGCATCTTCTCTTTTGTATGAAAGTGAACTCTGATATTCAGATTGTTCAAGGCTTTTACAGTTGGCATGTATGGAGTGTTAACAGAAAAGCGTATACCCTACCTGTAAAAAAAACAACTCTGTTCCAGCCTGTTTTCTTCTGTTTGGTTGTGTTTTATTGTTTGTTTTTATGCACACTTGCTTCATTGGTGTTGAGATTTTAGCACCTCAGATGGCCAACTGAACTAAAAAAAAAAAAAAATAAAGTCATTAATTATTTTTTCTTTTTGTTGGTGGAGTTACCATTTGTTTCCCTTGCGTTCACTCCCACAGTTGATGATTAAAGAGGAAGCCAGGAGCTGAGGAAAGGTGATCCTGAGATGAGATAAAAACCTAAGTGTTAAAGTGCCTGACTTCATTTTCTCTTATACTGGAATACTCGGAGCCCATCTGAATTATCTGAGATACAAACAAATCGATCTTGATACAACCCTAATACATGCTCCTCCTTTCTCTATATTTTACATTGTTCCTTTAGGTTCTCTGTGAAGAGAAATTACATTAAATAGTCAAGAAGGTGTGAAAGTAATGTAAATTGAATTGTAGGAACTGGGATTTAATTTCTGTAGCTGTAGCTCACTTCCTTAGCCTGCAGTACTAGCGTGAACATCGCACGCTGGTATAGCAGCATTCAGTAAGATAAGGAGTGAATGACATCAGTGCCTCTGTGCCGACTTGCTGTGTTGTTTTAAGCCTCCAGCACTCCCTGCCCGTGTCTGATCTGCGCTGTGCCAGCTCAGGGAGGGTAGCTAAGCCACATGCAGCTCCAGAGCTGTGTCCCTCGGACAGACTGGAAGGATGCAGAAGTTCAACCTCACCAGCTGGTGTGTCAAGAAAAGGCATCTTGTCTGGATGCCTCCTCTTCGAAAAGGGTGCGTGTTCAGCCTAAGCAGTGGGCGCTGGGTCCAGTAAACATCAGGAGCTTGGAGCCCGGCAGAATGACATTCAGTCAGCAGCACTGCTGTCATTAAGTAGACTGAGAAATCATAAGACTTCGTGCCTTTTTTTCAACAGGCAGAAGACACACAGGATGTTGTGGGAAATCCCAGCTGGGGAAATCCCAAACTGTGAGTCTAATTTTCCTGCCCACCCGACCATCTTCAAAACAAAGGATACAGCCTGGTGTGTGTGAGGCAGTTGGATTAAAGCAGACCTGTTAGGGCATCGGGGGGATGAGGGGCCGTGGATTTCCTCTTGGGCAGCGCTTGGCCTGGAGGCTGGGGATGGCAGGCTGGGCTCTGTCATTTGTGCAGCTCAGTAGGTTGGCAGTTCAGTGTGGATGTTTCAAACCCTACGGTTCTTCCCCATCCTTTTGGTCTCTCGCTTTCAAATAGCAATGGGAGAAAGCTGCGGTTACCTGGGAGGGATCTCTCTGGTGTCAAAAGGCCACTCTGCAAGGATTTCTCCCTTCATGCCAAAAGAGAAATGACTATATGGAAAGTGATCACTGGACTCTGGGGCACAGGAGCTCTGCTCCCATTGATAGCTTGGGAGACCAGCCTTGGAACACTTCATCATGGCTTTTTAATTATGCTGCAAACTTGTTAGCCCCCGATCTCAGTTGGGGACACAGAGGTTCTGCTATTTTACAGAGTGCGGATGGAACAACCCGTCTCCCAGAGGGACCTTCCTGTGTTGCTTTGGCAAAGAGCTGCGCCATCCCTGGATGGAGGGCCCTCCGAGACGAGCAGGGTCATGCTTCCTGCACAGATTAGCCCTGTGTGCCTAAGAAATAACAACAGAAGAAGGCCTCCTCACCAAGAAATCACACCTTGGCAGCCCAGTGCGGCGGCAGCTGCTGCTTTCAGTTTCCACCGATAACCAAAGTAGCCTTCAGGAGCCTCCAACCCCTTCCGCACGTGGTGTTTCGTGCCCTCGAAGCTGCCTCACCCACCCTGCGCTGTTCTCCTCGGGAAAACAGCAGCGCGACCCCTCCCCGGCAATTTGGGCTCAGGGCGGAGGTGAGGAAGAGCACGGCAGTTACCGAGGAGGGAGCGCGACGTGCCCTCGGCTCCGAGGGGAAGCACGGGAAGAAGGATGTCGATTAAGTAACATGCAGAGCCTCTTTTTGCCAGCGGAAGATGTGTATTATGTTACACAGCTACTCGGCCTGGATAAAGACAATGAATATAGCTTGTCAGGAGAAATAACTAGGGGGAAGTCATGCCTAACACTAAAACCAAAGAGCTGGCATTCTGGCTTCCCTCGTGTTTAGGAGCTTTTGAAAAGTCCTCACCCTGAGTGCTGTGACAGCTGCCTACATTAGGAATTGCATTTTTAAGTCCTGCCTATAGGAGAACACAAACCCGATCCCGTAAGGATGCTACCTGGCCACACACCCCTCCAGGAAAAGCATTCTTGGAGGTGATTACAAGATTTAAGAATTCAAGCAGGGCCTGACAGCATCTTCTTCCTTTAAATCCCAAGCATCGGCAGCAATGGAGCTGTTCCCAGAGAAAAGGATCCTACAGGTGGTGATGGGAGAAAGCAACAGCGCTGGCTGCTCGACTGCATCACTGCTGGAGTCATCCTCCCAGGGAGCCAGAGGGAGGGTGGGTGCCTCCTACTTCATTTTATAGACACTACTTGAGGGAAACGATGAAAAGTTGCCTCCTTAGCCTGTGTCCTCTTACACAGCACTTAAAATAAGAAAAAAAAAAAAAAAATCCTGTCCAAGACAAGCTCTGGAAAAAGTACCATTTTCCCTTGGCATCTTTGCAACAGTGTAAATGCCTGTGCACAGCAAGGGAGTGGATAAAGGAGCATTTCCAAACTTGCTGAGTACATGGTGCTTTTCTGAATGTCTCGGATGCAGGAATCACGTGGCTTCCTGTAAGCAAAAGATAAGATCACATCTCCTTTGGGGTTTTTTGTTTGTTTGTTTGTTTTTTAATTATTATTTTTTCTATGCAAATATATTAAAAAATCAAATACCAAATCCAAACAAAAAATACAGATTTCTCAAAAGAAATATATACACTTTGGGCAGAAGGAAGAGAAAGTATGTGTTTTGCCTACCTGGGGCTATCGGTGCTGACTTTCCAAGCCCAAGCTGAACCAACTGAGAGCACAAAAACTTCGGTTTCTTGGAATTTACAAAAGCTAGCAGATACTTAACATGTCGCTTTTTTTCCTGTATGAAGCCACCTGATGGGTTGGCCAACACAATGACTCAAACCTTTATCAGGTTTGATTTGGTCTTTATTTTGCGGAATCCGGGGAACTTTAAGAAGCACTCTATGATCAGCCCCTTCCTGATTAAACACCCTTCACGTGTTCTATGTAGGGAAACGAAGGCTGAAAGTTGCACAGTGAGTTGGCATGTTAAGAAGAAGAGCGAGCATGACAGGAAAGCTGTATTAAATACGAAGTAAGCATTGCTTTAAACAAAACTGTTAGAACTGTTAGGCTGCATTAAATATAAATTACTTTAAGTAGAACTATCTTAAACCCATTAAACTATATGAAATGAAAAGTTAAATTTGTTGGGCAGGGATGGAAGTGGTTATAAATGGGACATGAGGAGATTTCTGCCCAGAAGCACAAGGTGGGAGCCCACCTGAGCTCCAGAACAACGCTGCCAGCAACGGGGGCCAAAGGCCCGGGACTGCTTTACCCCCCCGCCAAGCCGTTCCACCTCCGGAGGCGGCTGTGCCGGCGGGAGGGGAGCTCCGCTCGGGGAGGCCCCGCCGGCACCGGCCACGGTTTGGGGTCGGTTCGCAGCCCCCCCCGGCTCGCTGTGAGGAAGAGCTGGGTGGGCGGCACCGCCCCGCCGGTTTCTGGCAGCACGCACGGCCGGGGAAAGCCCCGCACCGCCGCCTCCTCCTCCTCATCCTCCTTTTTTTTTTTCTTTCCTTCTTCTTCCTCCTCCTCCTCCTCCTCCTCCTCACAGCCCCGCCCCCAGCCGCAGCGCGTGGGCGGGCCGTTAGCCCGCGCGCCCGCTCGGCCGTTAACCGTCGCCCCGCGCCGGCCGCTGCGCGCCCCCCCCCCCCCCTCCCGCCTCCCCGGCCTTCACTCCCCCGGCGCGCGCCCCGCCCTGCCCCCGCCTCGCTGAGGGGGGCGGGGGCTTCGTGCCGCCCATATACCGGGCGGCGGGAAGGAAGCGGGGAGGTGCCTCCGCGCCCGGTCCGACTCGTCCCGCTCCCGCCCGGGTGAGTATCGATCGCCTGGGCCGGTGAAAGGCTGCGCGGGGTCGCCGCCGCGGGCCGAAGGGCGGGAGGGGACGCCCCCGCCCTGGTTTGGGGGGGTGAGGGGCGGGAAGCTGGCGGGGTGAGCATCGCGGGCCCGCCCCGGTGCCCCCCCCCCCCCCCCCTTCCCCCGGGCCGGGCGGGGTGGCCGCGGCAGTGGGGAGCTGGGCGGGTGTCGGGCCTGTCGCCGGTGGGCCGGGCCCGCTGGCTCCCGGGGAGCCCCGGGCCCTGATTTACCGATTGCTTCTCGCTCCCTTTCCGTCTGCCGGCTGAAGTGACCGGTCGGTGACCCTGAGGAGGGCTGCGTGGGGCTCCTGCTGTCTCTTACTGATGCTCGAAACTCTTCCGCCTCCCGGCAGTCCCCCCGTTTCCTTTTTGCCTGCTGAATCCGACCTTACTCCTCACCAGTTCACTTTTTTTTTTTTTTTTTTTTTTCCCTTTCCACTTTGTTTCCTGCTCTCTCAGTCTTTCGGTAGCTCCGCCTCGGCGGTGGCTCTGCGTGCCCCAGGTCGCTGTCCCGCTCTTCCATCCGCTCTGCTCTCGCCTGGCTTGTGATCGAGCTCTGCGACTTACTTTGGCCCGTCTTCTGCTTTCCCCTGCCCTGATCATGTCTCTCTTTCCCCACTTTTCTCCGTTTCTGGTGCAGACTGTCCTCCCGCCCGTTTAGGTGGTATCTCGTACACCATAAAAAAACAAACAAAAAAAAAAAAACCCCAAACCAACTCTGTGTTGCCTCGTCCTACGTGGTAACAACTAACATCTCGCTCTCAGTCTCTGGGGGGAGATTCCAGACTGGAGGGATGTTTGCTGGGCAGTGGGAGGATGAGGAGTTAATCCCGTAGCAGCAACTCCTGAGGGACCCGTGCTTGCCTCGGCTTTCCAGCACCAGAGGGATGTGGGAGGGGCAGCTACAGCGAGGAGAGCAAGGCAAGAAAGGATTTCTAATAATAGTGCTATAATTCGTAGGAAAAACCCGGTGATTGATACAGATGAGTCAATCCGGTGTGTGGTCTTCCCCAGTCTCCTTACCTTCCAC